AACAGCTTAGCATTTTATGTAAACCTAGGATCTAATTTTGTTGCCCACTCTTTCCTTCTGTCTTCATTTTGCATGCATGTCATCGGCATAAAGGGACTGGCTTATTTCTATGGCTATTCGAAAACTTAAGTTGGTCCGCTGTTATTATTCTAAAAAGTCTCTTCCCAGAAGTAGATGATCATTTTTATATACAGTATCACATCTTGGAGTAATGCATACTATGAAGTACCTAAAAAAATATTGTATGATACTGTTTTGTTTAGAAATAGCTTCTCTTATTGTTCAGACTAAGCAACCAGTTGGATTGGACTAAAAGGAATGCTATATATTCACATTAACTTCTCAGTATGTGGGTTAATTGACATTCAAAGATTTTGAATGTCAGTGCCCGGATTTTTTTCCACAAAAATGAGACTCGCATATTCTACCATTTATCTCAGATGGTCTTCCTAAAATGTTTTTCTATAACACAGTGGTTCTCAACCTGTGGGTCGGGACCCCTTTTGGGGTCGAACGACCATTTCACGGGGGTCGCCAAACAAGGCTGTCCGCCATTTTTTCCCCCTTTTCTTTGGCCACACCCCTGGCACCTGGTGATGTATAAGTGGTTGGGGGTCACCACAACATGGGGAACTGTATTATGGGGTCGCGGCATTAGAAAGGTTGAGAACCACTGCTATAACAGCATTGGAAGTGGATAATTGACGGAGGTTGCTGAAATCAGGGAAAGTCCTGGTGATGATTTAATATTCCCCCCCCCATATAATTAAGGATAGTATAAAGTGGGAGGCTGTGTTGAAAATGTATTCATTCACCTAGACTCCTTCTGGATTCAGGGAGTTAATAAATCATATAAATAAGCAACAAACTGTTGAAATCCTTTTGATTTAATCCCACATTCAAGGCTTTGGAAGAAATGAATAAATGAAAGTTTCATAGCCAAATATTTACTCCCACTTATTGTAGGTGGAAATAGCATGAAAATGTATAAGAATTTTATATTCTCAACAAGGGCCTTTTATAGAAGTGGTTCAAATGCAGAGAGGAATGAAACAGGATTATATTTTGACATGCTTTTATTTATTAGGGCTATGCAATGATTTGAATTTGATTTTGAACCATGCACTGGAACAAGTGGGAATATGAACACAGCATGTATCTGTGACTCATTAAAACAGCTGCCTCTTTTCCAGGGAACACGTGTCTGCTGCAGAGACTTTCTGAACTTTACTTGATCTGAATGCATTGCACTATCATCATATACAGACCTATCATGTCACTTCTCCATATTTGGTAATATATATTTAGTTGTCCTATCCACAACTGATGTGGAAAATCTCTCTCTTTCATCTGATAGATATAGAAGAGTTTTATTAGAAAGTGAAGGTAAAGGAAGGGGGAAATTATTATTTTTGGTGGAAAATGAATAATAATGAGACTGAATAAGCGGGCATCTATAAGTATCTTGAGTTTTCTTTTTTCAGCATCACAAAAAGGAGACACCTGTATTGTTTAGCTGAAAATACCATAGGAAGGTAACACTACTAGGACCAAAAATGAGAAAGTTTCATGGTGGAATATTGAATTATATTTATAAATTAGCTCCATTTATTTTTAAATATATGTATCTTACCTATGATGTTCATTTGGCAGGATGGGGTTCTTTCAATGTATTATGATATGCACAGTATGTTTCTTGCGTAATTCAGGTATATATTAATAAAAATATTTAAAAATGAGCTTTGTGACAATAAAAATAGCAATTAGCAATCCTATACATATCTAGTCAGAAGAAATATTAAGTTCGCTAGGATTTATTCCTTGGTTAGTCGATAGGAATAAATAAGTGCTAGGTTAGTGTAAAGAATACTTAGGGCTTATACAAATTAGCCAACCCTGTTCAGGCATTCACTCCACAATCAATTTACTTTCAAAAATTGTACTAAACTTCAATAACACAGCTAGTCTTTGTTTAGTGACTGACTCATTTAGCAGTCATTTGCAGTTACAACTAGATCATAAGCACAATTGTGTTTTCATTTAGTGACTTTTTGCTTAAGTACCAAGTTGCCAATCCCAATTGTGTTTGCTAAATGAGAACTACTGGCAATACAACTATAACAGTAATAAAATTATACAGAGTTGTAACTATGCAACCATTAATACAACCATTAATACAAACATACCTGTCCCATCAGGTCCAGCAGGAGGGGCATGTTGCTGATTCTCATCAATCAAAGAGCTTTGTTTGGCAGGGCCCAGGAGGAGAACCATTTCTGCCACAGCACCTGACCTTTGGAATATATGACTGTCCCGATATATAGCTCTTTTATTGGGGAGCAAGGTGAAAAATAAGGCCTCCTTGAAGTCAAGCTTGACTTCAAGGATATGTTGGTCTATTCTCTTGGTAACAATAAATTCGTCTCTGCTTTCTTCTGGGGTACAGGTCAAAATAGCCTATAGCTTTAATATTTCCTGGTAACATCCCACAAAATACTAAACTGAAGTATTTAACTTCTGAGCCTAGAGAAAGTTAATCAAATGCTACAACCCAATTTACTTTTAGAGAGCAGGGAAGATAATGACCTAGATCTAAATGTCCATATAGTCGCAGTCAGCAAGGACTCTTAATAAAATAGTAAGGGAGATCTTAGTCATTTTTATTATGATTTGCAGAATGGTCAGAGGTGATAATGCATTTTTTTACCGATTGGGCGGGCACAAAGAGCCTCTTGTCTCTTTAAGCACTAAAAGATGCGGCTAGAAATGTGTTAATTGAAAAGAGATTGCTGTACCAACTGCTGATAAATTATGCATGTCAAAAGTGGTCTCTCCATAATGTCTTTCCATAATCATGGGGAAAAATATGTGCTATGGAAGGGAATCTATTGCAATTTTATTAGTCAATAGAAAGGCAGACTCTCTCACATCATTACCCCAGAACTTTAATCTTCCCCTTTCTATGTGTATATTTTTCTCCTCAACGGTGTATTTGTTCCTTATTTCTCACTTTTAAAATAACACATGTTGCCTGGGAAATTCTGGGTGTTGACATCCATGAATTTTAAAGTTGCTGAGGTTGAGAAACATTGTTATAAAAATACCAGTGATATGATGGCGTCATATTCACCCCGAGGGGAAATCAAACAGAAGGCGAAATTTGTATGTGAAATTTGTATTATGTTGCCTGTTTTAACAGTTGATATGTCCTCCATTGGCCAAAGGTGCAGCAGTAGTTTCCAGATTTGACCATTATGGTCAATCATTATATAGAAGTTATGCTTTGTGCTACCAGGCCTTGTATTTTCAGCTTTTGTCTTGGAGGACTAAGTAGGAAAACCTAGGGCAACGGACTGGGAGCTAGCATCCCCAAAGGACAGCTATTACAAGGAATTTATAGCCAGCATTTTCAAGCATTTTTCATGCATAGGCTTACCTTTTATTCTACTAGTATAGCATTGTGGAGTGTGTGGGTTTCCACAGGATTGGTGCTTCTGTTTAACATATACATGAAACTGCTGGATGAGATTATCCGTAGCCACAGGATGAGGAATCATCAATATTGTTGATGATATTCAACTCTACTTCTCCACCCCTCCACCAAAATGAGCCTTGATGAGCTGTTGATGTCGTGCCCTCTGCCTGGAGACTGTAAAGAAAGGTCTGAATGGAGAACAACAGGCTTCCATGAACTCTGGAAAGACTGAATGACTTTGGCTTTTATGGCTTCCTGAATCTGAGCCTTTACTATCTTTGGCACTAGATAGGGTATCACTATCACCTATAAACTAGGGTGCAACTTGGGGGTCCTCCTGGATTCATGAGTCTTGGTTGATGAGCAGGTGGCAAACATGACAATGAGGACCTTTGTGTTGTGCATCAGATGCCCCCATTCCTGGATGGTGAGGCTCTGCTCAGGTACTCTTATTCTGGTCAGCTCCTAAACAGACTACTGAAATGTGTTCTACATGGAGTTGCCCTTCAAGGGTATCCAGAAGCTCCAGCTGGTGCAAAATACAGCAGCACAGGCAGTTATCTGTGCCTCTAGGATGTGTTACACTTCTTTTCTGTGTGCTACATTCATTACCAATTTACTTCATGGGCCAATTCAAAGTGGTTTTAAAGTCCTACATGGCATGTGGCTGGGTTATCTGAGGGAACCATCTCTTCCATATTACATCTACCCATCTCAGGCATGTTGTGGAGCTTGTCTACTAAAGAATACTATCTGATGGGACCAAAATGAGTCTTTTCTGTAGCAGCACCCACCCTTTGGGACATCATCCCTCCTGAGATGAGGCTAGCTTCAAACCTTATGGCTTTCCAGAAAGCTTTTAAAATACTTTTTTTATTATCAAACCTGGGAACCTTCTGATAGCAGGGAACCCACACAATGGCTACATCATGCATAACAATTCTGATTTTGACCCTCTCATCCCCTTTCTTTTAACCATTTGTTTGAATTGGTTTTTATTTGATTGAAAGTGTACCAGAGGGAACAATTAGCAAAATTTGTGAAGTGCAGTGGCTTTATGCCAGGCAGTGTGCAAAGAAAATTCTTGTCTTCCACAGCTTATGGAGAAATGTATAAATACAAGAAGGAAAGTGTAATAATATAGTGCACCCTGCCTTCCTCTGTAATGTGGAAAAAACCATGATGTTTTTCTTTTACTTCTATTTCCCCCTAGAATTAAAACAACTGAGAAATAATGTCCTTTCCATTTTAGATTGCAGGAAGAATGTTGCCTATTTCAGCAATCCTATATGTAATTCAGAACTCAGAAGGCTGGCATGTGAAGGGGAAAAAGTAGGCTGTTACATCCTACTTTCCTATCAGTATGAAATTGATGGCTCTGTAGTAGTTGGGATACTATTTTGAAATAGCTCTGAATAAACTCATTCAACCCCCGTGTTTACATATTCAAATATTTGTTTCTTCTTCCTTTTTTGCCTTTGCATTGTCGTTTCTTTAAAAAAAAATACACTTTCCACACAGAAAGTTTTACAAATTGCTCATATTTCCAGTAATATGGATTTCAAAACGGAAATTTTCTGTGCTTACAATATTTTATTTCCATGATTAAAAAAATGGCAGAGTTGGCACAGTTTGCAGGGACCTACTTAGAATATAGTGGCAATTCTCAACGACAGTTTACTCTCTGTATCTTTTGCAGAAATTAGACATCACACAATTTTATCTGTAGGCCAGCACTTCCACCATACCCAAACATTTATTTCTCCAAAACTATTGCTAATGACGACAAATATTTGTTTTACTTCAGGAAGGATTTAACAGTTCCAACACATTTACTCTTCTAATACTGTACCAAAAGAAAGAAGAGATGTACCTCCAATATTGTACATAATAGTATATACAAAGTACAGGCTTCTTGTTTTGCTTTTTGACAGGAAAATATATACACCGCATGTAGAGATTGGTGTAGAAGAACAATTGAAAATTGTTTTTAAAATAAAAAAATATTTCATTCCAAACCCATTATAGCTGCAATTAATTAAAAATGCATTGCGTGGACTCAAATCTGACTTCACAGAATTAGATTTTAACACAAAAACTGAAAATTGCTTCACTGTGCAACTGAACTGTGTTACATACAGTAGAATAAAGACAGTGCTGCCCTTCTTTTTTCAAATACATTTGCTTCAGCATTTGCTGGCTTTTGGCTACATGGATTTCAGTCTGTCTTTTCCATTACCTGTTTGTATTTTAAATATATTGCTCTAACATTTTGGCACTCACAGAGCCCAATCCATGAGGCTCTCTGTGGGCAGATTACTCCCTCCTACTTCCAGAGACAGTGTGATTGAGCAGCAAAAGTCCTTTTAAAAAATTATTAGAATGCTGCTACAATAATGAAGATAATTTTCACTTCACTTGTTTAGAAGCAAAAATGGCCCCAAAGATATATATATATATATATATATAGATATATTTAAATATACAATCTGTTCTTGCAGTGTTAAATTGTTTTAAAAAACTATCTCAAAAGTTTAAATATTTTTCCATCCCATGCTTGCATGATCACCTAAGATGGAAACATTGATTAAATATTTTTTCCCTTTCCACTTAAGCAGGTGAATTGGAAGAGTTGTTAACGTTCTTAAAAGCAGCTACTGCTCATGCATAGTTATTTGTGTGCTACGCAGCAGAGAAAAAGTAGGTTATTTCTCCATGCCTTGTGCTGTCTGAGCAGGATTTCAGATTGGCTGACATTGGAAACATTTCTGAGCTGAGCTGTAAGCAATATAGAATGCTTGCTGTGAATAGTTGTGGGAGATTATTCAGCACCATGTTCATGCCAACACTGGGAAAATAACTCCCTAAATTCTCTTCGAGAAATTACAGCTTAAGGCCACCTCTTGATATTTTGTAGGTTGCAAATCTGACTGAGGACTCATAATCAGGACAACTAGCTTCTTTTCTTCCTGCTTCTTAAAAATGTTTATTAAACTTATGTAGTTACTGAAAGCCATCTTAAACTGTACATTGCTTTCTAGAAAAGGTTCAGTGGAAATCAATTTTAGCCTTGAAAGGTTTTCAGTCCTTTTGGGTTATGGTCTATTTAGAAAATAAACACATTGGCTATTAAGGAGTTTGCTTGCATCTATCATGCTCAGATGCTTTCTGGAATCAAGAACAAATCAGAACTTGGAAACTGGCGACTTCAGAATTTACTGTTTTTTTAAGTTAGTGTCAGGCCTCAGCAATCAAGCCTTTCTCTTGAAACTATTCAGAAAGCTGGGGATACCCACCAAAGCAAAAGAAATATAAAAGTAGAGCTTTGCCTTTCTGGTATAATCCAAAAGGAGAATAAAATTCAAGCAAATACACTAATCCTTCCTCAACTCCCTTCCTCAGATAGCAGAGAAAAGTAGGAAGGATGATGGTAATTAAGGAAAGGGCTTGGCTGTCTTCCACTACATTCTGATTAGCCTAGAGAAGATAATCCTGGCTAGCTGGGACAAGGATTAAGATCAGTTGTGAAATAAAAACTCTCAAGTTAGAAGAGTTTCAAGTAGACAGATAAAAGTTTTTGCAGCTCTGAATCTGATATGCAGCCACGATCCCATAGGAAAAATCAGTCTTTTAGGGAGTCAACAGTTATTCTAGGGCCTCATTGTAAGTTGCCTATTGTTGAAGGGTCAAAACTGGAAAGGTTCTTGCCGGTTCTTCTCTCCATGTCAGGGGAAAGTCTATTATCTCAACAGAACAATGTTCAAATGAAGAACTGTAGAGTAGTAAGAAAAACTATGATGTTTCATGCTCATAGTACCAGCATTTTCCACATTATCAGTGGCAAAAAGAGTATTATTTTAGTGTTCAGAATTCTGCTCAGAAAACTAACAGCTAGCTGTCCTTCTTTCAAATGTCTGCTTAGATTACTTTCATATATTTATCAAATGATATTTTCATACAAGACATACAAGACATTACTTAAAAAGCATGGTTCCCATTATCAACATTTGGCTTTAAAATTCAGGAAGATTTTAACTAAAAAAGAGCAAACCTATGAATAAAATTCCAGTTCCATGACACATTTTATGGGCAACTTGTGTTGTAAAAACTGGATAATCCTATGTTTGCTTTGCAGGGAATCTTACTAAACTTATTTTCTTTGCAGGGAATCTTACTAAACTTGTTTTCTAATTTTAACTGAATTTGGCTACAAAATATGATAAATATAATGCATTTGCGGACATCTTATATTGAGAATGATTTGTTACATATTACACAGATTAATTACAGTAGCTAAAAGGGGTTATTAATACGTCTAGTCATAAAAGTTTCTGTATCACTGCTTAATTTAGATTACATTGCTTATTGCATGACTTTGTTCATAGTAGCAGCCAAGAACAATGAAAGTTCTTGGCTGAAAGTTCTGTACTTCATCTGTTCCTGCTAGTAAAAGACATTCCAGATATAAGTTGCCACTAAATATACTGATGGATACAGACAAAAGAAACATTTTAATGTGCCATCCTAATCCTTTCTGGCCATTAGCATCGAAGTTAGAATTGTTCCAGTTTCTTTTAAGAAGTCTTCTCTTCTATCCTCTGAAAGACATCAGTACTTTCTTCTGTGTGTAAGCAGAAACAGGAACTTCTAAGTATCTTAAACATTTCACTAAAGTAGAATGATAGAAACCCATGACTATTAAATAACATACAATCAATGAAGGTTTGTCATGTCAATGTGGCCCAACTTAATTATATCTCTTTCTGCAATACTTTGCTCATCACGTATCTGGGGAAAGTACTTTACTTTTGAAAATGCAGCAGAAGCTGTTCCCATGTCACCCACAGATTTTAAGATAGGTTATTTAAGTATTTATATATGCAATATAAATCTCCATGTACACTTAGATTCCAGTTGAGGGACATTTAATTGCATGTAAGGTGAGAATTCTGTCAGTGGGGGGGGGGGAGAGCAAGAAAGAGAGGGAGGGAGGGAGAGAGGGAAAACATATACCCAAAGGATAGTTAAATAGACAAAAATTGCCAACTACTACCTGCATTAAAAACACTCTTAATGCACACACACATACACACAACCCTGTTGGGTAACTTGAAGCTTTCCAGGGGTACAAAGCATAGTATAAACCTAGGAAAAATGAAGCGTTATATACTTGAGTTATTTTGATTAACAAGGTTGCCCATCACCTTGCAAAATAATATATACCTATTCATAACATGTGCTAAGGCTTTTCATGTGCTCTTAATGAAAGGGACATGTTCAGTAAACATTGGGATTTATTAATATCAGTGCTCCAGGAGAGACATAATGCTGATTCTTCCCTCTGGCCACCACAGGCAAAAAACCCTTCTGTCTTAAAAATTGGCAGCAATAGTGTAAGCTTTAAAAAAAAGTACTGTAAAATATCCAGTAGCTTTGCCTGAGTGAAACATAATAGGAAGAAAGGCGTTCTGACTAATCCTGAGAGTTAATTATCAGACTGCAGTACTCAAGTCTAAAAATTCAAGATGTAGAGGAAATATGCACACAGAAACAGGGAGAAAATGATCTCCCAAATCCACATGGTTTAATTTTATCACTGAGATTGTGAGGCCTTTTATAAGCAATTAAATATCCAAGCATTTGAAAAAAGTAGGAAAATCAAAAGAAAAGATCAGTTTAAATAATAGCCATAATCTGAAAAGAACAGTCAATTTGTGCACAGAATTTTTTTTTTTTTTAAAAAAAACCTGTAACTATAATCATAAGAAAAACAGACTGGAATTTGAAACCTAGAGCATAAAACAAACACATTTCAGTTTGTTATCTCAGCATCAGTTGACAAAACTGTGATAAAATCCACTTTAATTCAGAATCCCTTTGGAGAAAATAAATCAGCACATAAACTTATCCTGATGCTTTTCAGTGTGCAGTCTCTTTTGTTTTTAGGATGATGCTATCTGGAATCGGAATTTATTTTCCAATAAATGAAAACAAAAGTCTGTGTCATTTGTTGGAATTTGGAACCACTATAATCCATCATATAAAATATCATATTAAGCTGATTCATTGGAACATCGGTGGAATACTTGAATAAAGGGTAATCTATCCCAGAAATATGGTACATACTGGACATATATCTGACTCAAGACAGTTTTGATTTTCTTAAATTTAGGCTGCCAATTATATCTCAAACACATAGCACACTGAATCAAAAAAGATAGGGAGGGTGACAGAGAATGAGAAAACCAGAAAATGAACTGTAATAGCTTGTTTTAAATGTTAACTTATTTTTTCAGTTTATCTGCTGAGTCCCCATGAAAAAATTGAAATCTCATTCTGAAATATTTGGGTTCCCTTATGTTCTGGAAGCACCATGGAAGTATATACAGTAAATAGGAAGTGTTTTATACGTGTGAGATTTTCTCTCTCCCATAAGATTAGTTTAACTTTAAATGAACATATAGGTCTGTATATAAATATGCCTCATCAGCCCAGGACTAGGCTTTCCAGGCACATTTCATAAGGATTTTCAACCTAGGACTGAAAACACTGAACCTAGTGTTTGAGAATGGGTATGCCTGGAAAGAGATGGAAGAGAGTGGACAGTTAATACATCTTGTCACAATATTGAGGACTGTAGTCATGCGCAAAACCCACTTAGCCAGTGGCAACAAAAACATCCAAAATAACTAACACCTTATTTTTTTCCCTGTAGTGGTTGAAGCAAGAAAATCCTTTCTACCAATTTCCAAGTCATGTGGTCATTGAAATGTCTCCCAGTGACCAGACACTTGAACAAGGCATTGATTAGTTACCAGTAATAAGCTAATTAATTGTGCCTTTCCCTCACTGATTTCACAAGGATCTCAGGCTTTCTGTCTCAGGTTACACAGACTTTTGACATCCTAGTAAATGCCAATGGTGGTGTAATGTGAGGCTTAATTAGCTGGATCTTTCTTGGCGGGAATATTCCTGGCACCAGTAACTTATGAACTAATCTTTAGCAGAAGTTCAATACTAATTAAATAGAAATTGTAAGGTCTCCTTAACAGAGTTCACTAAGCTGAAACAAAAATGCTGTATTCACAGTAGGGTTTTCAGTTTTACACAGTACAAGACTTGTCAGTAGACTGTTGAGAAGCTGAGGCAACTGCAGCGCTTGAGGAATTTGTTTTGGGGAAAACTGCTGGCTTTGGCCTGGTGGCTGGAGGTTTGACCTGGACAGCCATTCTGACAGATTTTGCTGGCCTGAAGGCACAGGGAATGTCGCTTGCCGTGCTGGCACTCCGCTGAAAGGCTGGTTCAGGGTCCTTGAGGATTTGAGTATGCAAAGGGCTGGAAGGCTCAGAGGTGGGTGCAACTACAGGGGACATTTTCAGTGGCTCCAGCGTATCAAGAACAACATCTGGTGTGTGTTTCACATTGCTTTGCCTTTCCAGCTCTCGCAACTCATTCAGAGCAGAATTCATAGTAGCTTCAATATCCTGGAAAAAAAAAAGTTGGATATGACTATTAGAAGCTGGGTTGATCAATTATCTATAGTGAATAAGAAATATGAAGCAAAATGGACAGTGGTAGACTCAAAGGCATGGAAAGACTTGGAGCCAAAATTGATCTCCTTGGCAAGACTAGTATCATCCTTGCCTTGAAACTAGAAAACTGCTAATAATATCTAAAAACCTGTTCCTAGCGTTTTAGATGGCAGACAGCTTATTTCACTATGCAAGTTTTCATATAATTTATATGTGAGCTATTTTCTCTGAACTTCATCAACATTCGCTGTCTCATTTTTTTAATCCTTGAAACTAAAGCTCAGAAAAAGAGTTATTCTGATTCTAAAGGATGATGATTTTTAAATGGAAGCTTTTTTTTTTTAAAAAAAGCTCTTGATTGGTAAAACTACTGCAGCAAAAAATCTTGAGCAGATTATAACAGAAGTCAAAAGGGCATACTGATCTATATTTTCCTCAAATCTGTTTCCTCAATCTATAAAACAGCAGAAATTACCCACATTTTGAGTATTTTCTATCCATTCCTTTGGTATACCAAGCTGAACCTTGAGAGTGGTGAAATTCCTGAAAAGAATGGAAACATGCTTAGCTGCATGCTAGCTTCATGGTTAATGAGTGGTATTCCACTTTGCATCTGGAGCATGGCATATCTCAGCATCTCCTCATTGATGCTACATATTTTATGGTATTTTAAGCATCTATAAGCTCTGGAGATGTATGAAAAATGTTGCTCATATGACACTTGTTTCTTTATGTAGATAATGCAAGAGACAAGTACGGTAATGTGTCAGGCCAATCTCTTGTTTCATTTTTAAGCCTAAAATTTTACTTAGCGTTTCAGCTATAGATGTGGGCTTCATTGGCATAATAGATTTTTGGACAGCTGAAATGATTTAACATTTCCATGACTCACACTTTGGCTACAACATTTAAGTTTCCTCATAGATATTTTAAAAGGCACTCGGGAAGGTAAATCAGTCCAGGAGGAGAAAAAGGAGGAACAAAGACAGTAACCCAATGCCTTTGACTTCAGTCTGAAAAGATTTTTAAAGCAAAATACAGATCTCTGAGAGATAGTGGTGTCAGATGAAAGATGAGTATCTTGCAGAGTTTGAAATCAGACCTGGGAGGATATGAAAGGGCAGTTATAATTTAATGTAACCCTTTTTAGTTTTATTGATCGGATTCCCTTATGGAAACAATGAATTACATTTTGGCAGAAAAAGGATAAAAGCAGATTTTAATTGAAAGCAAAAAGATATAAGCCATTACAAACTTTGTAAATAGATATCAAAGCAATGATATCCAAGTAAATGGCAAGGATAAAACACATTAATGAAGAAGAGAACCATAACAGGTATTACCAATTAGATTACAAAACAGGAAATATAGACTCTTGTCCAGGTTGGTAAAAACCCAGCCATAACATCTACCTAATTTTTGGACAACATCATAGAATCAGAAATGATGTTAATATTAAATTAAGCCTATAATTACATGTTTTTGTAATAAGTAATATAAGAATACATGATTAATATAAGGTTATATCCCACTGGTCATCTGTTTATATCTTTTGCATTTCAACATAACTGGATAAGAATAACAAGCAAGACCTTCTTATATTTAGATTCTACCCCTCGAGAATGGCACAAGACTCTACTTGCATCTAGCTGATCTCAAAAAAAAAACAAAAAAACAAAACAAAAAAAAACCTAAGTAAGGTCAGAACTGGTTAGCACCTGGATGAGAGACCTCAAGGAAAGCCCATGGTTGTTGGCCATATTGGGAAGTTGGGAAAACATTCTGAAAGAATGCTAAGCCACTTTAATACTGTTGCAAAGAAATTATATGAATATCCTTCAGAATTTGCTTGAAGCTACAAAATTAGGCAGGAAAAACAATGACATGAATCAGCTACAGAAGGAATTAAAGGCTACAGCTCAGCCAATTAAATATAAGAACTGCTACCATCCTAAAACCTTTTTTTCTGTGTGCTGCTATTTAGAATATGACAACATTATGACTTTTCCCCTCAATTCCAGTATAATTTCAGTTTTGGAATGCCTTGCTTTGTACTACAATATTCTCAGTTTTTTAACAGACCTATCACATATTGGAAAAGGAAAAACTGGCCAAAGCTGAAGAAGAAACAATAGTGAAAACCTATTGTCTATGTGTAGTACACTGTTGTTGATGGATACTGGGAGGTTTTTTTAAAAATTCCATCTGCTTTAGTATGGCTTATTTCTAATGTCTTTAAAATGTGGGCAGAGCTGCTAAAAAGAACTAATCAAACAAAATTGAATACAAGGGTCCTCCTGCTGAACTTAAGATTTTAAAGCATATTTATATTGGCTTGTATCTCATGCTGGAGTACTTTAACCAGAATGCCGCACTATCGACCTTTTAATGAAAGCAATACATGAACAGTGAAGAGAAGGAGAGCCCCATGTTTGTGCATGTTTTAAGGCAGGCTTCACCATTCAGCTTGGGAGAAAGTTCCAGCTAAGAGACAAGATATTTTCCTGTGTGGGCTTGGTTTAAATGTCTCAGCATCCATATCCGGTCACAGCTGTGTATACACACATGCAGGGAATACCAGCCCATATTTCTGCCAACAGAAACAAAGAGAGCCGCTTTGTTCAAAGGATAGCTTCTTATCACAGACACTGAGAAACACAAAAAAGAATTAGAAAAGTCCTAAAAAACAAGGCAGGTGGCTGGTCTTCTTGATGTCTTCTCCTGTGTCTCTTCAACATCTAACCAGTTAAGCACACACAGAATTGACTACAGTTTGAAAACAATGACAAAGAAAGCCCTATTTTTCTAACATTTTGTGCTCAAGAGATTAAAATGCTGTTGGTAGAAAAGATGCTGGAATCTTAAAAAGCATCTTTTTTTAGGAAGTGGCTCAGATTCCATAAGGTTCTTGCAAATATTTTTCCAGATGATTTATGAGAAGTAAAATGTCATAGTAAAGCTTTATGAATAATAACTGTGGTCAGAAAGCCACAGATTGAAGAAATAAATCAAATCTTAATTCAGACAGCTATTCTACAAAATAAGAGGAACTTATTTTGAGTGATTATGATGCTAATGTGGATTTTGTTTCCTTTCTGTTGGTCTTATTAGGACTTCCCTTTATTAGCTGCAGAAAACTAAAGAAAGGATGTAAAAAATTTCAGATCTATTTACATATAAGGTAGATTATATAAGACGTGATAAGAGATGGTCTTTGATTATATAGGTTAAAATCCAATTAACAAACATACGCTATGTAAACATAAGATTTTCTGAATCTGTTTATAGGTAACTACAATTCCATGCTGTCAAATGTTTGGGCGATATAAGGAGAAAGAACTGATTTTCTATTTATTGGTGCTACTTTAGTTAAAGGGAACATGAATATCTGGCCAGTTCCCTCAATAGTATTGACTATGAAAACTTTTTGTGTTATATTACATATAACAGAGAACAAATTTTTAGCATTTGGGTTCACCTCCAGAAACAAAATAAGCTTCTCCCAAAGTTTAGGGAGTTACAAAGTTCTCAATAAAATATGTATGTCTGTATTTAATGGAGATGCTTTTCAATACAGAATATGGGTCTTTTTCAGCCTCCTTGAATCTGTGAATATTGATCCTACACAGACAAAATGTAGTAACTGTTTCATGCTTTTGGGATTGATTAAACATGCAGCAATCACAAACTGAGCTGATGTTTTAGAAGTGAAAAACAGACTTTCAATTTTTTTAAAAAATTGTAAAATATTCAGATTTGAATTTGAAATTCAAAATCAAAGGTTACCTCATAATTCAAAACTTGACTTGTTTTGATCACCTCTAAGGGGACGTTTCCTGATCTGAAGCAAATACTGAAGCAAAATATACATTATTGACATCAAATAACACTTGTTGCCCACATCAAAATATTCAGAGAATATCTGGAAAATATTTTGAGTATTCTATGAAGGTAATGGATATCAACATCAAACTCACGAAAGAGATTTTTAAATGATTGCAGGAGATGAAAGAATCAATTTGGTACCCTTTGAAGGTTACCCTGGCCTAGAATTTCATTACCTGTGCAATGACTTCAGGATCCATGGGCCGGTGGTTGTTAAAGCTCTTTGATCTTCCTGCAGTCACGTTCTTCCGGATATGGGGGCTATCTATCCTATTCTTCAGGGAGGCATGCCTACTGAGAGAATTGAGACTCCCATGGCCACTGATGGAGCATGCATCTGGGACTGGTGCATCCTTTGGGAGGCTTTGGCTCATAATGGGCTGTGAGGAAGGACGAGCACTGGCTATAGCTCCAGGTGGTGTGGGTTCCCCCAGTGAGCTGGGTAATCCATGGCTGTCACTCTGACGGAATGCTCTTCGTATACTCCCTGACTCGGGCTTCTTTCTTTGTCTGTCATTATAAAAGCAACACAAAAACATATTTTTCAAACAACATGGATAGAAATAACTTCTAGACAAAGGAAATGTCAGAAAGAAAAGAAAGTTGCTCAATAAGCATTCTGCAGAAACAACTACTTTAATTGTTAATACTAGTTGTAACATCCAGCCAGTTGTGTATTAATTAGAACGGAATATGAACTAAAGTAGCTGGGGCCACTGGCACCGGCTATGGGCAGTAATATATGGAGGTCATGGATTCTTAAAATTTTAAATTAGTTTTTCACCACTAAGCTTGGCGTGTGATTTAGAATCTGCAAGCTTCCCTTCTTTGAACTAAGGAGGAGGAAAAAAGTAATTATACATTTTGCTCTGATTTCTTTGAAATGATGAGTTACAAATTATAATTGTAGTAATTATTTATAAACAAAATGTGGATTTCAACAGCAGATTTCAGCATTTGTGGCAATTTAAAGTATTCATCTCAGTAGAATGCCTTGACAACAAATGCTGAAATAACAAATGGTCAAAAGATAAATTGAGATTCCTTCAAGATCTGAATGTGATGCTCCATCAGCTCAACATATCAAGGCAATTCAGGAATTCTTCAATTTTTAAAAACATCGTATGAAGAAGATGGATAGTCACAAGATGAGAATGGATTATGTCAAAAGCATGTGTAAGTATTTAAATTTCCAATTGTTCAGACTTTGGAACTTTCCATTTTGAGAGTGAAATAGCTGTTCTGAGTGTAAAAAGAAAATATTTCACTGTTGTTGAAATATTTTAAATTCAAAACAGTTCCATTCTTAGTTCAAACACTTTTTTCCATTCAATACATTTCTAGAATGCTTTCAGAATCTTTGCATTTCAAACACCTGTTTCACATTCAAACTCGGACATTTCAAAATGGATGGAGTAATATTTCATTTGCAGAACAGGTTGAATGTGCAACTTTTGCAGATCCATATTGTGTTGCATGTAGTAAGAAACAGAAACTTTATCTAATCAAAACTTATTTTTATATTTTGGTATTTAAATAAAAAGCAATACTAGATACGAATTGCTATATCATATAATCATGTGAACTGTGCTAAAGAAATCTCTTCCCTATGCGGAACCCTTATAATAAATCAAAGATTTTATTTCTGAACATGTGAGTTTACAAAAGCTAATCCTGGGAAAGTTATATAAAAGGAAATCAAAGAACACAGGCCATTAAGAAAATAATGTGAGTCCTTCTTTGACCATGATGGGAGACAGTGAGAACACAGAATAAAGCAAGTGGCGTGGTAAATTTTCCAGTGCTAAAAAGTGAACCCTAAGTACTTGAAAAATTAAATCTGATCAACATTATAGATTTGGAGATCATAATAGCACCTGATTATTTTCACTTCACAAGAAATAGTATTTTTTTCCTAACCAATGGACCATTTTTATGCTATAAAGAAATGCTGATATAGCTTACTTATTGATATTTGCAAGATAAATATCAGCCACATGGCTGCCACTTGGACAATTTGAACCAGCTCTGGCTGTCACTTTTTCTTCAGGTGGCTCAGAATTTATTTCTACTTCAGATTTTGGGCTTGATCTTTCAGACATTCCATCCTCACTAGGAAAGAAAGAAAAAAAGAACATACAACAACTCTATGTTATATCCTCAAGCTGCACTATTAGAGTATAAAACATAGGTGCCACAGACATTTTTTCAACACAATTCTTTTGCTTCCCATTATATTATCTCCTTTTACTCCCTTGCTTAAAGGGATCCTTCCTTAGAGTAGCCAAAAAGCAGTTTGAAAAACTATCAAGGAAGATTTTATTGATAAATTCAGAAACATAAAACATAGAACCAATGTTCACAAGACTCTACATGAATGAATGAAAAACATTTCAATGAATAATCTTCAAAAATAATGTTAAATTGATTCCTGCACAGCAGTAAGAAATAACATACGTGTCCTGGACAACAATGTACTGATGAGGGATCAAACCATCAATGCCATTGTGACGGCCTTCCCACCAGTCGTCAGAAGCCCGGTGATAAAGCAGGAGGGACGCCCCCTTTTTAAAAGACAGCTCACGTGCGGTTCTGCCCGAGTAGTCAAATTTGGCTATTGCTTCAATGGGTTCACATTCTACAACAAAATGAGAAAATTTGAATTTGTACACAGTATCTGTGTGTGCGCTCACACAAGTTTATGCACAATGTCCTATAGCCTCCAAATAAAGACATTAACAGAAGCACAATTTTATAACCCAGTGACCATTTTATAATCAGCTAGGTACCATCAACTTTAAAAAGGGGAAAAGTAATGTAAATAAGCAAAATTAATATTGGCAGCTAACAGACTGACACCAGATGTTGAGGGCAAATACAGCAAAGGTAATGCATGTCACCCCTTCTCTCCACTTATTTCAGCAGCTTTCCAGTGTGTCCTTTCCCACAGACCATCCAATTTCCCAAACTTGGCAGCACCTTCCCTTCCTTTTATTTCCTCAAACGCTGCTTCCACCAATGTGCTGGTCTATGCTTCTTTCTTTATTACAATGATCTAAGGAGTATGGAACAGACTCAGTGTAACAATGGCCCATGAGTCCATGTCCCCATAAAAGTCTTGCAGGGTTTCTCTTTTTTCTCTCTTCCTGTACATTTGCCAATATCCTTGACTTTTCCTCTTCTTACCCTCCTGAACAATTTCTGTTCACTACCTGTATCTACAACAAAACACTCCTCATTTTGTTCTGTCACATACAAAATGTCTGTTTTGATTAAGGTTCAAACCATCCCAAAACAGTTGTTCCATGCACAAAACACTGTGCACAAAAGGTTCTGCACCTCTTTAACTAAAACACTTATAAATTTAATACCAATGTCCAGTATGTTAAATATTTGTTGCCATCGGATAAAATGTGTGAATCTAAAAAATTTGCTAATTGCTCAATAGCAGTGGAAGGAAAAGAGCTTTATTGCAAAAGGAATATAATGAAATCAATTTCCCTTACAGCTTATTTTTCAGGATTCATAATGCTGTTTTTCAGGTTTTGTGCAATATCCACAATAATGTTCTTCCAAGATGATATTTCAATATTTCATTCCAAATATGAGAAAAAATGGGACTGTGAAGAATCTATCAGACACAACTTACCATCATCACTTGTATGGTGTTCAATAGTTATATCCTGAGTGGCATCTTCTGTAGAGACAGTCTCTCCATGGGGGCTTTCACTGCAGAAAAAGAAATGCACAGAAAGTTAGACTTATGGCTGCAATCTTTATCGTAACCACATCATTAAAATGGTATGTGGTACTTCAGGTATCACTTTTTCACCTAACATTATCTTATCTTTACTTAGTTCTGGTTTGAAAAGCAATGTTGAATAAAGCTGTATATTATCAAGTACTTCAAACTAAATATGCTCATAGTTGAGGGACTGATCATTTTTCTCTTTGATTTTATTTCTGAATGGGAAAAGAAGCTCCTTCGTGACACCAGAGGGTAGAGACGAAATGCTTCAGATAGCAAGAACGTACCCTTTTGTGATATCCTGAAATAAGTGAGGTAGATGGTGAAGAATATTATCTACACTAGCAATAATGATCTCGTGGATTTGCCTTCGTCTGAGCCAAATCATTGATCCAAGTATCTCAGCATGATCTCTTTTTTATGGCTGGTGAAAAAAGTTTTTCTCTATCAATGATGCCTGATAATTTAAAATTTAAATATAAATCTGTGGCATATGAGCTCTGTTGGTAAATTTTAATTTCTCTAACATTTTGCTGAAACATATTTCGAATATGAAATGTTGGAGGCAAGGATCTTCAGTTCAATATTGCTTTAACTCAGAAAAAAATATTTGTTAACCTAAGGTTCTGATAATTCTATGAGGATCCAGCTATTTCAGGGAGTGCTCCCCCATCTCCTCGCTGAATTCTTTTGTAGTTAATGGAAGGAGATAGAGAGAGAAAATCAAATGCAGAGGTCCCATGGCAAAATGCCAAGTTCAAGTGGCATTTTGCCAAGTCTATCTGTCTTGCAATGATTTTGCTATATAGTAAATATAGTTTTCTTTCTGTAATATCAACATAAGTCCAAGCGCTCAGAAATAATTTGCTATGGAAAGGCAAGTAAATACTTCAATTATGTTGGCTCACCTATCAATCTCTCTCCCCAAACATAACAATAAAAAAATGTCTGTTTTCAAACCGCCTGGTATGTAGGTATGTATGCATGCTGTGTTGTTGTATTGTATTGTATTGTACTGTACTGTACTGTATTTCATTTTTTAACCACCCATCTCTCTCAGAATAGCTTTCACCTTCTATTTTTCAGCAAGCTATTAAAACAAAAACAAAAACCTAAAGTCCCAAAATCACATGTGAAAATAGAGGATACTTGGTACAAATTTGAAAAAGAGAGAGGTTAAAAGGATAATAAAAGTGTAATAGATGCCATCAGTATGATTCAAGATTCTGTTAATACTGAGGTAAAAGACCAAAGACCAAAACCAAAGGCCTTTTTTTTCATACTGGGGTGGATTAGATATTATCACAGTCAAAGCTTTGGTGATCAGTGTTTCTCATCCAATTGAGCAGATAAAGGCAGAAGTACTCAATCTTTTCCAGTACATTCCCTGTCTTAGTACTAAGGCGGAAAAGCAAGCTTGTTGTTAATCAATCATAGATAACAAAGATCAGCCCTTTTCCACTGTGCAATGTCCTGTATTTCTTATGATTGACTCACATGCTGGCATGTGGGTCTTTCTTGGTTAAGCAGTTATGAAGATGGGGAGGCTTAGGCATTCCTCCCACATTTCATTCCAACTCCCTTCTCTTTGTGAAAGAGCTTGTTTGTGTTGTTCTAGTGATGTGCACCAGAAATAGGGTCAGAAGCATGCTATGGTGAATGTCTGTATTGCAGAGGAAAAGAAAGCAGGACTCTGATATAGAAATGTTTCTGTGTGCTGCACTATTTCTACTCTGGAACAGATCAACTTTATATTTTACAAGGATAAGAATGAGAGAACTGATATTTTCAAAAATCTCAATAAATAGCAGATATAAGTCCATGATCTAGTAACAAAATACGTTTTTATCCTTTATGCAAATGTCAAAATAAAAGTTGTTAAGGTCACTCAATTCCAAGAAGACTGTGTGGTCTAGTATAAGTCCAATACATAGATTAAAAACACATTAAAAACCACATAATTGCCTAGACAATTCCTTTTTTCATTTTTTAAAAAAGCCAAATGGATACAATATCTTAAAGCTCCCCAAATCTTAGGCACCAATATCTCCTTTAATCTTTATAAAATTAAGCTGATTTTCTCTGTTTTTAAGAGGTTTAAAGGGCAAGGCTACTTAGAGTTGATTGATTGGAGTGGTCTCTAAGCCATATAACAATAAAAAAAGGATGGCTTAAGATTTTGCAGTATTTCAGGCACCTATTTTGCCCCTTTGCTGTGGGAATCAAAAATGTTGGTCTCCACACTCTATTTCTGGGTGATTTCACCAATCATGTACCTTGGGAGGTAAAAGCAAAATCAAAAGATACCATCATTATAAATTGATTTTTTCATTAATCAACTTATAGTAATATACTTCTTACTGTACTGTTAGACATTTTTGTTAGCTATTTTTAATAAAAGTGTATTTATTAGTGTTTGTACACACATTTAATAAAATTTAATCACAATTACTGCATAGAAACTCACAAAATATTAGCTGCCCTCCAAATCTGCACCTTAAATTATATTAGATTATGAATACATAATACATACATAATGTTTCTATATTTTCCAAGGAAGAATAAAATATATAAAACTAGTAACTGAAATTTCATAATTAATTTTAAATAAAGTATATAATTAAAATGTAATACATGCAGTGGAGAAAAAATTACACTTCAAGTTGACATTTTATTGAAAAATGCTCCCTTTCTCTAAAAATATATTTTCTTTCTTACATGACCATTTATTTATATGCTGATATGGGAGATATGGAAGAATAACAAACAGAAATTACCATACAAGTGAAAAAATGTGGGGTTTTTTTGTTCAAAGCAAATTTGTTTAGCTATTACCAGACTCCTGCTGCAAAGCTATGAAATCCAAGTAGTGTTGAATTTATGAGGTATCACAGATGGTGACCAGTTACTAAAGTTGATGATTCTCCAAACTCAATTACTTTGCACACAAGAAATTTCCTGAATTTCTTAATCTTTGAAGAAAGAATTGTAGAATGTGTTCATGTGATTAAGCTTCCTTCTAGAAACATAGTAGTCTTTCCTATTATCTTAAAGCTGTGTTGGGTAACTACACACTTGTATCCTGGCATTATGGACATTACAACTTCCTCAGAGACTAAACCCACCATTTTCAGAAGATTTTCAGAATCAAAATGTTCAGTACAATTTGTTCTGAAAGTGTTGAGTAAGTGCATAAAGTTGCCATGTTTATGGATATCTGTGCCACCTGGAAAAAATGGCTAAGTGATATTAGTACCACCCTCCAAGTGAAAGAAATTAACGCTATGTAATCTAAAATGCAGGAAAAAAGACAAAACTACAGTGTGAAAAGATCTTTCATAATCAGAGTTAAAATACTGCTTGTGAACTGGCTTAATTTAGCTGCTTATCTTCAACAATTACTTTTTGTGTATCTAGCTTAAGAAGTTTTAATAAAGAATTAGCTCAAACTTTGTATTTCTCACTTAGGAATCATATATAACTTTGCTTTTAATCTTCAGGTAAAATTGGTGGATTTAGCAGGGCCATAATTATGAATTCAGCAAACTACTAATCTGAAAAATCTCTAGAAATACTCCTTGCTGTTCTTTCTGTACTCCTCCCTCGCCTGAGGAGTAGACACAAACCTCAGATTCTACACTATTTCTTAATCTTCTTATCATATGGAAAAATAAACACTGAAAATTAGAAGCTCTCTCCTGCTTCAAGTAGCATCGGATCTAGTAGTCCCAGCTGGATGCTTTGGTCTACTTAATGATACAGCACATACTATAGAGGCAAAAGAATTACAACTCAAAAAATGGTAACCCTGCTGTGAGTGCTAATCACTGAATGGTTTAGGGAAGACCAAAGAAATTTAGAATCCACAAACATATCAGCAGCAATATAATTGCAAGGCAGTAGGCTGGGAGTTGGAGAATACATGTTTCATCAGCACAGGGAAGAAGTGAAAGGTTTGTTTTAGCTCCTTAAAATAAGCACTCCTACATTTGGCAGCCAGTAAGACTCACTGTAAGAAGATGGGTTTTCCTTAACATTAACTTCATGGTCCCAAGAAGCACATTGCTTCTCAAGAATTCCTTGATCTACTGTTGAAAAAGAGTTATTCAGGGAAGGTTTTGAAAGGTCTCTCAATGATTTGGACTTGTGATTCATCCAATTTTGACATATTAAGATTCAGTGCCTCATTTCTCTCTCGTAGCTGTTACTTCTTTTGGATAACTGTTACTTCTTTTTTTGTGGGGAGCAAACATACTACATCCAAGATCTTACAAATGTAAATTAAGCAGAACATAAACCATGGAGAATAATGGAAATTAAATTGCTTTTGAAACTACCAATTAGAGAGACTCAGCTTGCAAAAAACACACAAAAATATTAAATATTTTATATTGGCCTCCAATTTTTTTTTCCAAAATTGTATTTTATTTTCTTAAAATAGTATATACAGGTAAATGTCAAGCCAGAAAGAACATTACAACTAAGCAAATGTATTTACACAACATTTAGAATGTCTTGGCAAACCTCTTTAGAAAATTTAATTCTATTCCAATGCAATGAGAAGTGTCTTCAACTGTCCATGGTTATAGATAATCTATTTACCCAAAGGAAATTTTCAAGCCAATTGTTCACAGTAGGTGCTTCTGTTTCTTTTACTGTTTATCATAATTTAGAAGCTTTGTTAAAACTTGAACAGCTGAAGCAGTAGAAACCCATTTTTTAGGCCTTGTTCCCCTGCTGAGGATGCATGGTTCCAAATAAAGACATTACCAGAAGCTCATTTTTATAGCTCTGTGACCATTTTATAATCAACTAAGGGACATTAATTTTTAAACAAAGGGAAAGGCAATATAAAGAAAATTAAGATTGGCAGCTAATAGAGTGGCTTCAGTTTATAGAAAATGTGAAAATAAAATTTTTGGCTGTCTTGGGATGGTACTTCAGAAAAAGAAAAGTGAAACCAACCTAAATAATTGCCCAAAGGTGCAATAAATCAGTTGGGGGGGGGAATCATTTTTAACAGTCTTTTTTTCAATGAATGGAGCAAACAAATCCCTTCCTGTTTATAACTTCTTGTATCCCCCTTGGCATCACCAACCCTGATGAAAAAGGTTATTCCCGCTAAATTGTTTGCAAATGCTGGTTTTAGAACGAAGAACAAACAGGCCTCTTGTGTGTGGTATTAGAGAGAAAAGAAGGCTTTCTCCTTTGTTAATGCTGCCCTGAAATTAAGCCATTTTGAGCTTTCTTGGCTCACCTGCTATCAACTTTGCCTTTGAAGGAAAGCTGCTCAAGACATGCTGAGAAAAGTGATGGATGTCAATGATGGATTCAGGCAGTGTGCCGGTACAATATTTTCACAATCTGGCTATGGTAATTACCATAATATCATTAGACAGTTCCATGAACAAAACTGACTGGATTACTTTTCTATAATATAATAATGTGTAATCACGCCAGATAACTTCTGCCACTACAAGAGGTCTATATTTGTAGTGTGGGAAACCTGGTTGCATTTAAGTCTCTCAACTCCAGCCACTTTGTCTTTACACAATACAGATAACAAAAAGAGGATAAATCCTGGAACCAGCACTGAAGTAGCATATTGCTCCCTTCACTTCTCTCCGTTTACATCCTACCGTACCAGTAATCCTCAGTGCTTCCACCCCTGGTGTATACAGGTCCCTCCAGCTCTCTTGGTCCTGGGAAGACATTCTCATGTTGTATGATTATAGTTTTGATGAGCTCATTAACATGAGCTTGGCAGGAGACCTGATCATGGCCTTCAGGCACTGACATCAGTGTGGGTCCAAAGCAGATGGCTAAATTATAGGGGTCCATCATGTTCTCTTCACTGAACTGAGATAAACTATAGGAAAAAGAGAGAGAAGAGTAGCAATAGGGAACATTATCCCCAAATCCCAGAAGTAGAGTAACTTTCTAAAATGGAAATCCGATTTAAAGTAGCAAGTATGTCTTGAGACTACTTAACTAAAGTTACACTTAGAATCGACTACATACAGCAAATAAGAGGGAGCTTTTCTGCATTTGATACCTTACAACAAATTTGATTTTCTTTGTATAAATGACATTTCTCTAGCAGAAGATGTTCAAAATGTTTTTCTGCTGGATAGCACATGGATTTCTTTATTTAACAGGAGGAACAATTTTCACTTTATGTTCAATTAACACAGAGAACATTTGTTAAAAGTATATGTGTGCGGCTGTGTGTAATGAGGGATGGAAGACTCATCATCTAGTTTCATTTTAGTACAGACTGCACATTATTGCCAGCATTTTTTTGGCATTTGTACCATGCCCCCTGCCTAGAGAACAGCTGCATCAGCCACACCTCATAAACAGCCAAGAGGCAGATGAAAGTGTGATTGAATATGGTGCTGCATGGTTCACAGCCCAACACTGTAAAGATTCTAACACACCCTTTTGATTCCCCCCCCCATTTGCATCCATTCTTCACAGCCAAAATATCTTTCTTTTTCAAAGAGAACACTAAAAGCTTCATGCCAATGTTCAACATGGAACGTCAATCATAGGCATTTGAAACATTGATGTGACACACTGAACATTTCACCCTTACATTCTCCATACTCCACTACCGTCATTTATAAAATAGTGCTTTCAACTGTGAGGAACACAGTTCAGTTGCTGATGTTTCACCTTTCAAATTCCAAAGAACAAAGGGAGATGCACTCTTACCCACACTTAGGCAGCATAATCTTTCAATAAGAACTGAGTTTGACCACCTGAAATCAGGACTTAGCTGAGAAAAAATTGTTCAGTGTAAAAAAGTATTTTACTTGAATAATTTGTCTTTTGTTTTTAACTGTAACTCTCCCTACAAAACTTGCAGAGGAAGTATGCCATAAATCCAGTACATTGCTGTTTATTTATCCATAAAAATAAAATAAACTTGGCTAGCTAACAAAATTCAGTATCTAGCACTTGTCCTTCAGCTTCTCTCATGCATATTTAACATTTTATAACATTCAAGCTATAACATTCACTCCGTGTCCTTTAATTAGAATATCTGCAGAATATTTAAAGGCAGAATGACAGTGGTTTTTGAAGAACAAAATGATTCTGCCTTCTGAAATTGATGGGATGGACTTGGACTCAGGTCTTTTTCAAGGTGACCCAATCCCTAGGGAATATACTGTCTCAACAACTGTAGGGCCCCCCACATTTCTATCTTTTGATAAAATTAGAAAGATATAGATTTTTAGGGCAGCATTGGAAGCTTGCCACATGGCTCATTAACTCTATTTTTTTTTATCTTGTGGCTTAGCTGCATGTCAGGAGTAGGGTAACCATTAAGATTTAATAAACAATATAAACATTAGGGGATAGAACTAAAAGAGAAATCCCTTAGCTGTACCCCTGGATTATATACCAGCAGCCACCTGTCTGTGTTTAAGAAAATATCTTTCCCAGCAGACTGCTTAGGGTATTTATTTGCTTAAAGATGAAAGATCACCTCCTGATGATTTTATAAATATATCCATTTTGTTTCTTGGCAACAATAAAGAAATAGTTTGTCTCTGCCTATTTTGAAGATATTTGGTACTTTCTAATCTGGTATTTCCTAATGGTCTCCCATTCAAGGAATCCTATTTGTTTGCTTCTTCAAAATTAATCAAGATCAATTAGATGCTGCCTTCTATCTAGGCATTGATTTATTTACTTACACAAATTACTCCAGTAAAAACATCTAGCATTAGCTGTCTAGAAATATATAAATTCACCAATGATAGCCTAAAAATGTATAAATTTATTAAAGAAATTTTTGGATGTTCTCCCCTCTGTCATTTTAGAAGCATTACGTGCTTCTAAATCATATCATAACATGTATTGTCAATATCAACACCCCCAAAATTCCAATATTATGTCTCATTTATATATTCATAAAAAGATTGCATAAATGCACAGAAGTAGGTGAGTCACATGAAACCAAGTATACAATATTCCAAATACATAATACTGTCTATCAACAGCAGAAATGTACATTCCCTATATAACTGCCAGAAAACTGGCTAATGGATACATACATCAGAATGTCAGTCTGCCTTTTTCTCTTAAAATAAGTCTCTTAGCTGTAAAAGCAGAATTGAAATCACATGCATCTGACTAGTGAAATCTCAGGAATTAAAAAATCAAACATGGGTGCATTTGTACTGTCTGCAAAATTATTTTCTTTCGTTACTAGTACTAGAAGGAAAACACTTGCTGAAACATAAGCAAATATACTTTTGTAATTTAAGCAGGGTGCAAAATTCTGATGCAATTTCTGAAAATGATTTAAAGGGGGTTGGACTAGAAAACCTCCAAGATCCCTTCCATCATCATCATCATCAACAAATACCAAAACAGTGAAATGGGCATTATACTTTCTTATATATTGCATTTCTAATATTCATATAGTTCAGTTTCTGAGGCCAATTAAATGGGAATGTTTGAAATTCAACAAAACAATTCTAAGGGACCATATTTATGATAGTTAACTTTTCAGATTATCTTGCAGCCTTATAAAAGAGAATTTCAATGCAATGCATTAGGTTCTGATAGAAAGGATTTTAGCTGAAACAACTTTCTGTTGGAGATGCTTTAGCTATGAACTTCATGCAAGAGGTAGGTGTGAGATTAGACAGTCCCCAAAGTGTCCTTCAACTTTTAAGGTTCTAATATTTTCCTCCAGAATACCAATGTAATAGCTACAGTATTCAATAACTCGAACACTTACTGGCTGAGGAATGCGAAGAGGTATCTCATTACAATCAATGTGGGTTTTGGCAAAGTCAGAAGGACTTTTCGGATGTGTAGAGCTCTCTCTTGCAGGTTGTCCATTGCTAAAGAAAAAGAGAACAGCTTCACAGACATGATAGGATAAAACCGAATAATGTGGTCACACTTTAGCTTACTACTCTACGTTCTGGTTGACATTTTCACAAATATAAGAATAATCTGATTTTTAAACATTTTTATGTTTGAACATGTGTAAATCTTATTTTATCACATGCAGAGACATTGGGAATTCACAGCATAGCAGAAGTGTGTATGTATACAGGTTGGTGGGTTTTTTCTTTTTCTTTTTTTTTTTTGCATCTCAACAATGTGATTTTGAAGGTTAAAAAAGAAAAAGTCACATAAACTTATAAAACCAGGCAGGACACAAACTAGCTCTCAATAAAAATGTTGGTTATAATCAAGATGCTTTACAAAAATGAATGTTGTTTCTTAGATGATCATTAGTGTGCTCTTATTTATTATGCATTTTCTATTTCTTATACTCTAACTTCCTCTATCCTAGAATTTAGTCCCATACAATAGCATGACTTTACTGCATTTCCTAAATTTGTTATACTAATCTTAATTCTAATCATTTGTAATTTCTTGTTCTTATAATCCAGGTCTATTCTTTGTTTGTAAATCTCCAGCTTGCCTAACCAATACCCAAATGTTGTTAACCATTTCATTTCTATATTTCTTTGATCATTTACTATATTTGGTTCTATATTCTCCTTTCTATCCATTCTTTTTATATCTGACTAAACAACCTGTGTGCCATTGGGTCATTGTTTCAAAGATACTTTCTTACTTAAGGAAGGAAATTAGATAGCTAATCCATCCTTTTATATCGCTTTCTGGAATTCCTTCCTTCCTTCCAACCTCACACGGGGGGGGGGGGGAGGGAGATGTTCCAGAGGACAGAAACAACAGTAGAAAAGGCCCTCCTCCTGGACCCCGCCAGCTGGAATAATTGGGCTGATAGGACCCGCAGCATGCCTGCTCTGCCAGCACGAGTGGTATGGGCCAATTTCAGTGGGTGAGGGTCCCTAAGTAACCTGAAACCACACCACGAAGGGCTTTAAAGGTGATCACCAACACCTTGAATTGCACCTGGAAGCAGACTGGTAACCAATGCAGCTCACAGAACAGTGGTGTTACAGGGACTATTTTGAGAGGGGCCCATAACTACCCGTGCTGCACTCTGCACCAGCTATAGCTTCCAAATGCTCTTCAAGGGAGCCCCATGTAGAGCACATTACAATAGTCTAGCCGTGAGATGATTAGAGACTGAACGACTGAGTGCAGGGAATCCTAGTCCAGGAAAGGCTGCAACTGGCGCACAACTGGCTGCAGGATGGACCTCTCCCTATCAATATCAATTGGAACTTGCCACAGAGAAAGGAGATGAACCAGGACAGAACTGTGCCACCTAGCCCCAGCCCCTATAGCCGGCCCAAAAGGATAGCATGGCCGATGGTATCGAAACCACTGAGAGATCAAGGAGAGTGAGGATGGTGGCACTACCCCCATCTCATTCTCACCAGAGATCATTGACAAGCACAACCAATGCCATTTCCATTCTATAACCAGGCCTGAATCCTGAATGAAAGGGGTCCATATAATTTGTTTAATCCAGGATCCTCTGCACCTGCCAGGCCTTTTCCACAACCTTTCCTAAGAATACGAGATGGGAAACTGGATGAAAATTGTCCAGGCAGGTGGGATCCAGTCATGTTTTTTAAAGGAGAGGGCGAACCAGGGCTTGCTTAAAAGCATCCAGAAATGTCCCTTCCTCTAGAGATGTATTCATCACTATCTGGACCCACCCGCTAGTCAATATTCTGGAGGATTTCTCCATCCAGGAGGGATAAGGATCTAACTGACAGGTGGTGGCACTGACAGCATTAAGAGCCCTGTCCACTTCATCGGGTCAACCAGATCAAACTGTTTCCAGATAATAGGGCAAGTCCTCTTCTGGGCATCTTACACAGACTATCTCCATGCATGGGGGCCAACAAATCCAAGCAACTTTGTCCATCAGGTGCTGAGCAAACTCTCCTGCCTGGCTCCAAATCCTGTCTTTAAAAGGAATTCAACAAGTTTAACTGGCGCAGGGTAGAATGTGGTTGTCCCAAAGATATTGTTGAAGTTGAATGAGGGGATGTATACAATGCCAACTGCACAAAGCCCATTTTAATGTGCTGGTTTAAATTTTAAAACTAATATTTGGAACCAAGTTATATGATGTAATCACTGCCTCCTTATTAGCCTGCCTGTACTTTAAGGAGATCAACTGAAAATTCCTGTTACATGTCTGCTTGCTGACAGAAATTAGAATTGTAGGCAGAAATAAAGAACTTCTGCAATGGCCTACATCTCAAGAATGCATTGCCAGGAATGTCTGACATAGGCTTTTTTAAAAACATCAAAGAACTGTTTGTTTTTGGTGGCTTTTCTTAAATTTTTATTGGATTGCCCAATGCATTATATGATTTCTGATGGTATTTGGGGAGTGGAGATATTTTTGCTCCACTCAGCACCATTATTTTCTTACTATTTAACTTTGCAGCGGCTTTTATTTATTTTGGAGAGTTCCTTGCTTCTGCTCTTACCCTTAGTGGTAGTCTATAAGTATTTTTTTACATAGAAAAATAAATATAAAATGCAGATTATGGTTGAGCAATATCATCAATATGTAACCCCTCCTTCACTCCTTCCCTTATGGGCACTTGCCCTCCTTCATCAGGCTTCACACCCAAGCAGAATGCTTATTTATTTTTAAATGTGTTTATTATTAATTTTAGGGAACAAGCTACAATGCCTCATGTGGTCATCTCAAGCATAACATTTACTTCCAAAAATGTTTTGGGGGCTCTAAATATGCTGTAGAAGCAGTTTTTTTTTGGGGGGGGGGAGAGAAGCTGATTAGGGGTTACAGCCTATTGCTTTCTATGGAAATATCTCAGCCAGAACAGGAGGACAGGGAAGATAGAGATAAAAATGGATCACCAGTCCCAATTTGCTATTAATGAGGCAATGCATTCACTTTTAAATCCTTACCATCTACAACGTTAAAATTGCTTAAAGTATGGAATGCTACATAATTTAAAACCAGAGAACTCTCTTCAGCATCACACCCAAACAGGCTCTCTTAAAATTTTTCTTGGCCCTCTTTAAGGTACTGTAATGATATAAGAGAATGATCTTGAGGAATAGGAAGAGCTGCAACCCAGAAAACAGTCAGAGGAGAAATCTGAGTCGAAAATAGGAATGTAATTTGAAGAAGTGTCTCAGACTCAACCCTCCCCACACCCTCTCCTTATTCAGTGACCATAATTCATTCACTAAATCAGAAACAAAATGGTTGTAAGCAAACACATGATAGAGAGAGAGGAAGAGAGAGAGAGAGAGAGAGATGCTGCCAAGAACACTGGTTGTTGCCATTTTGTTCAGGTAAAGCTCTCATGAAAGCTACATCAGCATTAGTCTCCTTCTGGCTTGTGCTGTTGTCAGGGGCACACATCTGGATGTTAAGTGTGCATGTTGGTCAGAAAAGGATTTAAAAAAAAATACTGTATTTGTTCACTAAAGGAAGCTAGTAAACAGTGAGTGATTATAGTTCTCTTGAAAATAGAGGCAAGAAGAGGAGAGGCACTTTCAGACTTGCAAGTTTCTGCTACAGTAACCTTATAATAGAAATAGTATTAGCATTTATAACTTTGAACTCCTGTTCCTAGACTGAGTTTAAAGGACTATAATCAAACTGGTAGATGTTAACATCTTTGGTCCTGAAGTTGAAACTCAAGTACTTTGGCCACCTAATGAGAAGGAAGGACTCACTGGAGAAGGGCCTAATGTTGGGAAAGATTGAGGGCAATAGAAGAAGGGGACGACAGAGAATGAGATGGCTGGATGGAGTCACTGAAGCAGTAGATGTGAACTTAAATGGACTCCAGAAGATGGTAGAGGACAGGAAGACCTGGAGGAACATTGTCCACGGGGTCGCAATGGGTTGGACACGACTTCGCAATTAACAACAACAACAACAAACATCTTTGGAACAGTGTCCATTTTGACAGAAAGTTTTGAGAACCTGAAATAATTACACAATAGTCTTTAGTAATTAAGTAATTAATCTTGTAAATATTATTTCTTAGGATTTACAAAATAAAGCAACACAAGAAATTAATAAAATATTTCTTATTAGTTGGCAAGTTAACTATAGCAAAACATTTGAACACTGAAGGGCATATTTCTATGGTTCACTTGTATTTTTTAAGAAATGAATAAAAATCAGTATAGCAGTAAAATCTTAAAGAATTCCCAATTGGTCTCCAATTTTTTTGTAAAATCAAGAGGATATTCCTAATAAATGATCTTCATCTATACAGATGAATATGGATATGGAAAAATATCCATAATTTCATTAGAATTATAATTAAAAATGTAATGTCTTAATATTAATCCCATGTGAGACAAATCACATATTTGTTTTATGCTTCTGCTTTTATGTATTATAATTTCCTTCACTCTTTATTGATCACTGTATGGTAGTTTTATTTTTTAAAAAAGGCAGGCTGAGATAGTAGGAAACATTCTGGTATGCAAGGGGTAGTGGGAGAGAGCAACCTCATAATTTTCCTTTCCTTGGACATTTTTCTCTCCAAATTTCAGAATGGAACTACTGAGAATTATAGCTTTACAATGCTTCATGCTTGTGTGGATGCACGTAATGTTTAATTTATATTCTGGTTTAACAGAACAGGACATGAAAATCTGAAACTGGTCAAGTGTGGAAGTACTGAATACTATCCATTGTAGCAATTAAATCAGATAGTCTATTACACTTAGTTTCTTAAGGTGGGTGTTTCAAAAGAAATCTTTAGTTTAATATTCCACAGGCAGATTAGCATTCCTGAATGATGAGACAAAGAGCTATGTCTACAGCAATATAATGGGAAAAAAGTGGGCAGCACAAAGCCTTGGCTCTAGAAGTTTAGAATTATTTGGCAACAAGCTGCTCTTTTCATCTAACAGAGTTGAACTGAGTAGACTCATTTGTTGTGAAAATGAAACTGCAGAGCTTTTTAAGAGGAACTCTCCTATATCTTACTTCAAAGACTTTTTCCAGCATGGTCCTTCTTATGCTTTGACAATGAATTCATTGTTTGCTATAGAAGTGAGTCAGCACCAAGAAGTTTACTATAAACCTATCAGTCCCAGGGAAAATATTAATACCCTTGAAACGATAAAGTGTAAGTTACTAGCTTAATTTGTTTCCTACATGCTGCAGAAAAATACTGTGAGGAATGTCTATTATCTTTAAGGAAGATGCCCACCAACAGACAACTGTTGGCTGTCTTTCTGTCTCTCAAATAAACAATTACCTAAATGATGAAGGATTGATCCTATATTGCCTTCAAATGATAAAGATAAAAAAAGGACAAAACAATTTCTTAAAGCACTCCCTTTAAAGTAAAAAAATAATCCAATCTGTATTGGATTATTTTTAGTTTACTAATTTACCTTGTCAGTCATTTTTCTTTAGTATAATCAAATGAAATGGCATTGGGAAGGATAAGCTAATAATATGGTGGGATGGGAGAGCCAAGAAAGACTGGATCAAACCCCAAAATAGAGAAATGTTTCAACATTTTTTTTTAAAAAAAACCCCTTTGTTTAAAAAGAAGGAAACAGATCCTTATGTCTTAAAATCTATATCCTTAATCCTATTCTGTCAGCATTAGCCTTACAAGCTATAATTATCACATTACAGTCTACTGGGGAAGCACACAGAATCACCTTTTTAATCAATTATTCAAAAGGAAAGCCACAGATTAACAGAAATATGTGCTGGGATTCAGATGAACATTAAGAGAAATACATATTGTTGAATTAACTTATGACCCAGTGAGAGGCAAATAATGATCTTTTATTCTGATTTTGTATATTTACTATCTCAGAAGCAAACTGACATGTTTCAGATCTCTAGTCTCCTGTGAGGAGATTAAGGAATGTTCTGAGAAGCCAGTGGTAAGGTTTCTAAAAGATAGCATTAAATCCTAACTGGCTTGTGCATTTTTGTGCTACTTACTGACACAGGCAATCAGGTCATGAAAGATTTCCTTGGGGAAAAGGGGATGTTCTAGCCCACGAAAATAGAGCTTTAGGACACCCGCAATTGAATCCATATCATGGTCATTTTGGTCTCCAGCCAGTGGATCCTCCCCTGGTTACCACAAAACAAAGACAATAGCAACAGAGTAAATAGGATATTTGCATATTTAAAAAGAACAAAGTGCAAAATATGGAAGGAAAATCAAGTAAGATTTTGTTTTGAAAATGAAAAAAACAAACATCAAAACCCCCTCAAAAATAAATCCAGTTAAAAATTTAACTCCCATTCTTAAAAGTGACATTCAGCATAAGGCTAACACTACTGTAGTACTATTATTATCTTTTTCATTTTCTCTACTACCCCTTCTTATTGATATTATTGTTATGATTATTACCCTGTAGCTTTGCATGTACACTGAGAGCTTCTACACTGTAGAAAAATTTCTTGTGTATCTAATCACACTTGGTCAAATAAATTCTATTCTATTCTATTCTGTTCTGTTCTGTTCTGTTCTGTTCTGTTCTATTCTATTCTACTCTATTCTATTCTAATCTGCCCTACCCTACTCTACCCTACCAAACCCTAATTATTATTCTATTGATAGCAACATAGTTCTAGCCAATAGATGTTATAGGGCTACAACACAGGCAATCTGCACTCTGACTAAGGGGATAAACACAGTAATCTAATGCAAAGGCTGATTTGGGCAAAATGATTTAAAATGGAACATGTGAAAGTTCTATTTTGCAATGTTCTGGTTTCAGAATGATTGCAAAAATCTCACATGAACAATGTTAATAATCAGCCATGCCTAAAAAGCAAGAGCACATAGTTCTCCGGCATCCATCTATTGCTATCATAAGAGCTAAAGAAAGAAAGGATTCCTATTAAAACCTCACTGTTGGAAATAATTAATTTTGATTATTGGGTAAACTGTCAGTTATATATTTTCTTCATGTAACTGAAACCATTGCAGCTCAGCTGATATCACAATACCTCACAGGATAATTAGAGAATTTTCCTCCATATTAATTTTCATCAAGAGCCTTTTGATAGAACAACATTAATAACAAGCATTTACTGTTTTAGTACTGCATGTGCTTTGAAAATACCATGAGAAATGGATGTAGAAAATTTAGTGTTTTGTACTGTACTGACATCAAAGATCTGGAACTAGAATTTAGAGCAACCCTTCACTGAAAGATCAGACAGAAGAAGAATTGCTCCCATGACTGTATTGTCAGTAAATATAAGAAGCGTCTACCGTTCTATAGGTAAACTATTTACTTTCTTTTTAGTTAAATATAATATTTACATAATAATGCTAGAACAATTTGATGTGTCTCTTAGAAACTTTTCATAGGGAACCTGTAGACTTTCAGCTGTTGCTGAACACTAGTTCTCAGCAGTCCTTATCCTGGGCTATGCTGATTGGGGATGTTGAGAGGTGTAAGGTACCAAGGTCCCTTGTTCTGTAAAATGCAGTATTTATAATTTGCATACGTTTACTTTCTGTCTCACAGACAAAAATGTCCCATCTTTCCACAACCATATTTATTAAGAAAAATCTCAAATTCAATTAATTTCAATGATGCTACCCAATTTATAAAACAGGCAGCATACAAATGATTAAAAACAAAATAAGGTAAGCAATATATATATAAAAGAATCACAACATCAATACAAATAGAGCCCCAAAGCCCAGCATATTCAAAATCCTAAACCAATTTTTCAAACCGGTTCATTTATTCTTCTCCCCTCCTGAAACTACTTGTGTTTAAAGAAAGGTACAACCATATACTGAACGGAAGGACATTCTTTTCATTGTAGGATGCAATATGAAAATTTTCTGTGAGAGTTTTGGGGGACAAAATATGTGAGGAAACCTACGCCAGATTTGAAGAGTTCTCCCTTCAATCACTTCCATTGAACTTTCCCCCCATGAACTTCCTGCTGTCACTATCCCATTTACTTATGAAAATGTCATAACTTAAAGGAATTTAAAATAATTTATAAGGCCTTTTAGAAATTCCATACACCTTCAGTCTGAAATGTTTATATAGCGATGTGACAAGAAGCAGAAACCTAAGGGATTTAGATACCAAAGATTACTGAGCATTGGGGGATGGGGGTGGGACAAGGATGTGAAAAATATGCTCATTACAGCAGCATGAGAACCATGGAAAAGAAGATCTTGTCCTCTTTTGCAACTTCAGTCTTAGCATCTCTAAAATCCTGAAGCACAAAGCAAATGCAGAGGCAAACATAATTGTTCTTACCTCTCTCAAATGCATTTTTTATATCATTCACTTCAACCTGAGATCCAGATACCCTGAATATTCCTTCATGCTGAAGTCCTGGGAAGAAAATGGGAAGCATACATGAAAACTGAAGGAACTACACAAATGATGCCTTTCCACCTTTTTTTGATAAAGGAACCTAAGATACAGTCACTTGAAGTCAAAATTGTGGCATTATTATAGAACTTTCTAGGGCCCAATTACAGCATTCAATGATTTTGTACCTTGAATACATTGGAACAAAATAGATTTGGAGAATTGTTACACATATATTGTACAGAAATGCTACTTATATGTATGCATGTATGTATGTATATGTATATTTGTATTGTCAACACACACACAATAAATACATACATATATACTAAATTTTTCAATCACTCCCAAACTTGAAACAATTGAAATTTTTTTACAACTAAGCCATAGTGAGTAATAAATAACTATCCAAAAACATCCTTAGGATTTCATGATTCCTATGCCTATTTTATGCAGTGTGAGTCCTCAACATCTATGGAGGTTCTCTATCATCCAAGTCATGGTTGTCCCAAAGGTGCTTTTTCAAAGGCAATTGCACTTTGTTTTTCCTTGAATATGTTTCGCTTCTCATCCAAGAAACTTCTTCAGTTCTAACTGAATAGTGGAGGATGGAAAGATTTGAATTCCTTGCAGTCATCTAGTCGTTAGCATTCTTTCTGAGAGTCACTGAGGTGACTCGGAGGTTTATCTGTGTCCTCGGGGTCACCTGAAGAGTGCAAATGGATGTGGAACCTTCTTGGAACTGCTGAAAGGACTGTGTTGTAAACAGGAGATAGGTGGGATTATATCCGTCCCCCTTCTGTTGAGCTGTTCCCTCTTTCAAACCAGCACTCCTCTCTGTCCTGAATGTGGACTTTGCTGTCCTCAAAAGAGTAACCTTTGTGTTTCAAATGGAGATGGACTGCTGAATCCTGTCCTGATGAGTTTGTTCTCCTATGTTGTGCCATGCATTTATAAAATGGTAGTTTTGTTCCCCCAATGTATAGATCCGTACATGTCTTACTGCATTGTACTGCATAAATGTGGGTCCTCAACATGTCTATCAGCACACGTGCCTCAGTTTTTAGATCTGTCAGACATTGTTATTTGTAACTAATTATGAGGATTTGCACATTATACGTAGACACAAGATAAATAATTTGGTTCTCTGATTGTGATGATCTCTCTATGTGAAGGCCAAGCTTGTACCAATGTTTATTTTGTTATGGTTAGGGTGCTATTCATCTAAGGTTTTTGGTTTCTGTGACAGTCTAGCCTCTATGGCTTTTTATCACAGTTGTTTTTCTTACTTGCCTTTTATTTTATGTTTTTCCATTGGTTGAATCCTGTCAGAGATCTAATTATCACAAGGTGAGTCTTAAAATAAATAATATTTAAACAGAAAACAGGTTAAATGTTGGTGCTCAGTTGTATAGGGGATATTAATCCAATTTGTAGTGCACAGAATGATTAAATTTAGTACTCAATCCCTGGTGGAGGCTTTCAAACTAGAGTAATCAGAAAACATTTGAAAGTAAATCAGTCAAATCTTCTTTTAAGCAGCATCCTGTATATATGAAATCCAGTTTCTACACAATGAGATGCATGGAATATTATTTGGTTTATATTATACATGATTTAGATCTAAAATCTTTGATTTTTTTAAATGAACGAATCCTTTGATATGAAATAGAGAGCTTCTATTTATAGTATGAATACTCTGGACACACAAAAATCTAAGTCTCCCATAAAGGGTTTTTCATAATAGAAGTTGTACCACAATCAATTAATTATTTTTAAACTGTTACTTCAAATGACTTTAGAGAAAGTCTGTTATTTATTATCCAAGAGCAAAACATCTTCTATGGATATGGTGGTATGCTTGCATTGGCCAGAAGGAAATTAGGTCAAAAATCTCTATATAAAATGTACAGCTTTGATCTGAGGCCATTTATTTTAACATTGGATTATCCTGAATTTATTATATTTCTCTTTTCCTCCACTGTTTTACAATTATGTGAAAGGATACCTTATTTCCTGTGAATTAGTGTTTGTTCCATGCATCATTTAACTTGTGACAGCCTACAGATTTAAACAAACAGTCCTTTATTATGTAGATAAATTCATACTTCCCACTCTGATTGGAGCAAGTATACAGCAATGCGTAGGTAGTGCCTGATGAAACTTTACAACTGGAAGGAGCTCCTTAGATGTCATAAAGTGACAAAGAGGCATTTCTTTCACAGTAACTTATTACTTCTTGATTATTACAAATTACTTTTGAAAAAAGAACTTTGATGCAAAACTGAATTATGTTAGCAAACACAACATAACAAAGCATGTATCTTTGCTTATTGTTCTTCCACTGTAGGTGGTTAGCAAAATTATAAAAACAAACACTTACTGATTAATATGCTACATAGCAGAAAAATGCAGATATACATAAAAAAAGCCAAGAATAACCATCAGCTGATAATTAGCTCAACGGTCAAATCCCCTTCTAAATAGGAATATTTTTATCGACCAATAAAAGCTAAAGGGAAAGGTCCAGGCATAACCACTGCAAACTGCCTTTTTGAACTACATTTGGCAGAGATCTTAGGTCAAAAAAATCCTAAAACTTAACAGAGGAAGTCATGAATAAAAAAGTGATAACATTGTACACTGTCTCTCTTTCAGACATTTGTTTTTAAATACCTTGAAACTGTGTCAATTTAGACAATCCTCAACAATAAAGTATAACCTTGTGATTTTTTTTTTCTTTTCACACTTACCATGTCTGCTAATGAAACGTATACAGCTCTCTACCACCAAAGGAATTGTGTGGCTGGAATCCTGAATGACAAAATAGACAAAATGTGATGAAAACAATAGCTTGTCAGAAAGGAAGGAAGTGAGGGGGGCGGGGGGAGGTAGAGAAATATATGAATTTCTGAACTTCATATACTTTGAAATAGTCTACAAGGGACATCTATTTCCAAATGTAAGATTGCTATACAGCGAGCATCGTGGAAAAGATATTATTAAATAAATACACACTGGAAAACTCGGAATAGATACAGTATTTATATATGGTTATAGATGTATAATGACCCTATTAACACCCAAAAGAAAAATGTGTTTATAGAAAAAACCTGCAATATACTACTAAATGAAATTAAGTAAGAATTTTAAGATTTTTTTTCTTAAGAAATGTTGTGATGATAGCCTTCAGAATATTTAAATACATATTGTTTCTATTTCAATATACGGATAGCCCTTGGCTTATGACCCCAATTGAGCCCAAAATTTGTATTTTTAAGTGAGACATATGTTAAGTGAGCTTTTACGACCTTCTTTGCCTCAGTTATTAAGTGAATCACTACAGTAATCTGGTTGTTAAGTAAATCTGATTTCCCCATTGACTTTGCTTGGCAGAAGGTTGCAAAAGGTGATCACATGATCTTGGGACACAGCAGCCATTATAAATATGAACCAGTTGCCAAGCACCTGAATTTTGATCATATGATCATGGGAATGCTGGAAAGGTCGTAACAGTGAAAAATGATCATAAGTCACTTTTTTTCAATGTTGTTGTAACTTTGAACAGTCACTAAACGAACTGTGGTAAGTCGAGGACTACCTATATAGTCAGTTCCTTTAACAGTATCTCTTTGCCCAGTCTCTCAAGGTATTATTACACCTTCTGTCTTACAGATCTGATGTCATCAATCCAAGAAAGATATGTCTCAATGGCTGCTTCTTTTTCCATTTTTTAGTCTGCTTTAGTCTGATGAAGAAAATGGAATCCCCATTTTGGAAAAGAGCTCCTAATGCTTTTCCCAAACTGAGAGATATTTTGCTATTTTAAAATAAATTGCCAGTACTGTCATTAGTAAAAAAAATCAAATAGTTGGTTGTCATTGCTTATATTACAAAACTGACTTGGGAATAGAAAAATAGAAATTTATATATATATGAACACACACACACACACACACACACACACACACACACTTTACAGTAAGTTAATAATTAAAAGACAACAAACTACAAGTGAAGCCTCAAAACAAAGCTGTTCTGAAAGAGGAAAAAAAAAGAAGCCTCAATTTTTCACTTTACTGTGAACATATGTTATAGCTTCTAGTGCTCTATAAAGCATGCCGAGAGGTCTTTTGCAAAGCATGACAGCATGCAGCATTAAAGCTGTTCCTCCTCTGGAAGGATCAGTATTGCTGCTTTGAATATTGTCCTTAGTGGTTTGTGGTTTGTGTGTTCATGTGCATGTGTGCATGTACAGATAACACTTCTGCTGTGACCATCAATGAACAAACAGCTATTATATGTACACACAGGGACAAAGAAATAGCTTCCTTTAACCCTTCAAATAAGGGATATTTTGTGCTAATAAGCCTTATAAACCAGCTCTTCTGAATGCAATTTTACAGCCTAGGAGCTTTGCTAACATTATGTTAAAAATTAGCATGCCATAAGTCATTGCAGATAGGAGCAAAAAGATACTGGAATTTCTCTTACGGACACATCACATCTCCCTCCCCCCTATGAACACACACACACATACACACAGTCCTACCTAACAAACCAGAAAATAATGCAAGAGGTGCTGACAGTAGTGCTGAAACACACAATTACAGTAAAATGGAGCAGTTAAGAGTTATAAAGGTGAATCAAAGTGGAAGAGAACAAACTGCTCAGGTAAGTTCCAGCCATTAGAGGGCAACAGCTTCAAGTTCAAAAATTCCAAGCAGGAAGAGATAAGGGAACAATATGTATGGTTCCATTCACAGATAGAGAGACCTGTTCTTTTTTGTTCGGTGCAAATAAAAAAAAATCATCTATAGCACTATAGATAAACGATAGACTCAAATGAAGTTCAGCAAATTCTAGCCTCAAAACAAATCAACAGATAATTTGCAAGGGCCTTTTGTTTGTCTGAGTATTCACCTCCCTCCAGGTCCTCTAAGATTCAATGTTATATGCACAGCAACAATTGAACATAGGACGGTCCCTTTCACATACTACAATTCAGTTATATATTACTTCAAACTGGCAATTCACTCTAAATAGCTCCCTGGTCATCCAAAAGGTAACTGATAAATTCATAAATGTCTGGTCACCAATTCAGCTTAGAGAACAGGAGGCAGGAAAAATGGTATAAAACCAGATTCTGAGCTATTCTTGGACAAGTGATATTGGTGATCCTGATGAAACCTGATTTCAAAATAGGTTTCAATATTGTTGCTAGTAATTTGTGAGATAAATTCTAACATAGAATAAGCATTAGTTGATTTCTCAGGAATCTAGTATCAGGTTATGCCTCATCCCATACAAATGTCTTTAGGCAGTATCAGAAGAGGAGACAAATGCCCCTTTTACCTTCTATGTAGTAGCTTTTTTGTTTATAATTAGAGAAGGGATTATTGATCTGCAAACTGGACTGAGTATTTTTGACTGAGCTGCAAGGTATAAGTGCTTTAGTCCGGCAAGGCTGTATACTGTCGCCCTGCCTATTTAACTTATATGCAGAGCACATCATGAGAAAGGCAGAGCTAGATGAATCAAAAGTTGGAATTAAGATTGCCGGGAGAAATATCAACAACCTAAGATATGCAGATGATACCACTCTAATGGCAGAAAGTGAAGAGGAACTAAAGAGCCTCTTGATGCGGGTGAAGAAGGAGAGTACAGAAGTAGGCTTGAAACCCAACATTAAGAAAACCAAAATCATGGCATCCGGCCCTCTCAATTCCTGGCAAATAGATGGGGAAGAAATGGAGGTAGTGACAGATTTTATTTTTCTGGGCTCAAAGAGCACCTCAGATGGGGACTGCAGCCAAGAAATTAAAAGACGCTTGCTCCTGGGGAGGAAAGCTATGGCAAATCTAGACAGCATTCTAAAAAGCAGAGACATCATCCTGCCAACAAAAGTGCGTATAGTCCAGGCCATGGTTTTCCCAGTTGCAATGTATGGCTATGAAAGTTGGACCATAAGAAAGGCTGAGCGCCAAAGAATTGAGGCCTTTGAACTATGGTGCTGGAGAAGACTCCTGCGAGTCCCTTGGACTGCAAGGCGTTCAAACCAGTCAGTCCTAGAAGAGATCAACCCCGACTGCTCTTTAGAAGGCCAGATCCTAAAGTTGAAACTCAAATACTTTGGCCACTAATGAGAAGGAAGGACTCACTGGAGAAGGGCCTAATGCTGGGAAAGATTGAGGGCAATAGAAGAATGGGACGACAGAGAATGAGATGGCTGGATGGAGTCACTGAAGCAGTAGGTGTGAACTTAAATGGACTCCAGAAGATGGTTGAGGACAGGAAGACCTGGAGGAACGTTGTCCATGGGGTCGCGATGGGTCGGACACGACTTCGCAATTAACAACAACATATATTCTGATAGTACTATATATTCCATCACTTGTTAAAATAAATTTGGCTTTGGTTTTTTTCATCTTAAATCTCCCATTAAACTCTTGTACATTTATACAATATATGGTGATGATTATATATCTCTCTTTTAAGTTTTGCACTTACCCGCTTTCTTGGTTTTTCTTAAACATTTTAAATGGTCCTTTTACCTTCTACTATAAAATCACAGAATCATAATGTTGTAAGGAACTATAGAGATTATCTAATTCAGCACTTTTGCAATGCTGGAGAAATTAAAAGTTTTTGTTTCAAGGCCTCTAGTAAAGGAGAATTTGTCACAACATATGGCAGCCTGTTGTACTACTGATAGCTCAAACAGTCAGCAAGTGCTGAAATATCTTTCTTCTAGTTTTAACTCAATGTTTCTGACCCTACTCCCCATTGCAATGGAAAATATTGTAAACCATCTTCTGTGTGACAACCCTTCAGATATTTGAATCATATTTTACCTTAGTTGTCTTTCTTATAAGATCCTTGCCCTTTAACTACTCTGAGTTTTATTTCTAGATCCTTCATTCACTATCTTGGTTGTGCTCTGCTGAACTTAGTTGAATTGCTAAACAGTCATTCTTTTAGAGATGCAGTGCCCAGACCAGACAGAATATTCTATGTGGGTCTGACCAAGGCAAAGGAGATTTACTAATTAACAATTACTTTCCATGATCTGGACTCTCTGCTCCTTTTAAAGCATCCCATAAAATATTGCTGCAAAAGAAATCAGAGTCAGAAACTACTGACAGCATGTTCAGTAAGAGCTGACAGATATAGAATGATTTTATTGTCATTTAAATAACTTTCTTACCTGCTTTCTTATGGTAGAACTACGTCTGCTGTTGATCCAAGTATTCACACGAACCATTATCAATAGATGAGGGAGAACAGGAAGAGAAAGCATGTTTCAAATAAATCATTTACAATCAAAATATCAATTTATTTGAAATATAAAGAGTTCATGGGGGTGGGGTTTGTAGAGAAGATTCAAATACAAGACATATTTACTTCCAAGTTTTAAAATCTAATTTAAAAGAAAAGTACTGTAATGGTCAAACAGGCACAGCAGGGTTTACTGTTAACAGATGGCTATACTTAACCTTTTACTTTCAATCTTAGACAGCATCATTATAAAGCCCTTTCTTTCTGTAATGTCATTTAGAAATTATTTAAAGGCAGCACCATGCTAAGAAAGGCATGCTCTGCTGGATAATTTACAGCCAAAAGAGTGAGAAAATTCAAATTATTTTCTCTGAGACAAATTCAAATTTAATGCACTTTATTAAACCATGCCTTCAATAAAACAAAGGTAACAGGATTGAAATAACAAGAACAATTACAAACCATCTCATAAATATGTTTGTGATTTCTTATATATTACTAGGAGACTCAGAGTAGAATGGCCATTTAAACATTTGTTTAGGTGTTCTCATGTGGAACACCTTATCACTCATTTTAAATATAGCGGAGTACCATCATATCTGTTGAGAATGTTATTTGAGGCAGAGGATTAATGGGTTTCTCTGATCATAGAGAAACGATTAAGGAATGTAGATATTAGAAGTTAGCTAGAAGATTTATGCAGTGTATCTATGGTGGTAGCTAACCTAATGATATTTCTCAGGAGTCCATAAGACGAACAGAAATTTAGTTTGTTTTACAACTTATCTACAGATCCAAGGCACTTAAATTTAATCATTTGGATGGCTCTCCTGAGGACCTGTGGAACTATACCTTGAACTGATGTGATTGAAATCCTTCCTATGGGAAAACAGAGTTGTCTCTAGACTAACTTATGACTTCTAAAATAACTTTGAAGAAAAAAAACCTGGAGTACATGACACACTCACTCCATACAAATTTTTGGATGAGACAGCACTTAATACTAGTATTTGTTGTATGTAGAAAGTCTAATTTCAAGCAGTAACTTTTCCAGGTGAACTATCACAGACAGAATCACTACTAGCTGAAGTAAACATCTCCAGATAATATCGAGCAGTAGTCTGTCAAAGAATAAGGTAGTTTTCCATTTCCATTTTCTTGTTTGTTTATTGCTCTGGTGTCCTATCAACCTTAGTATATAAATACAATGCACACATTTTAAAATCTTAATGTCAAATAACACCCAATTTTCTTACTCTGACAACAGATCCATAGTGGTTAACAATAAATAGATAACTTGATGTTATTGCCCAAATCAATGGTGAATGACACAAAAATGATTGATTGATCTTAATTACTGCCTATATGTATATACTATTATATGCTTATTTGCACCTACAATGGACAAATAGATGCTTGCAATTACAATGTGATGCTCAGTTGTTTTTCTTGAAGTTTACTTAGAACCCCAGGGGTTATGCTCACTTTTCCCTATTATCCATAACTGAAAGCAAGTTAATAGAGGCTGCTTCCCTGCTGTTTATGTTGTCAAATAAACAGAAATTTTGATAAAGTAGATTGGAAGGGATGGACAAAAACATAAGGATTAAATCTTGTTTCCTTCTTAGTCTCCTCTTTGAGACATCAATGAAAAGTGTCACTAGGGTGTAAGATAACTTCCTGTGTTGTCAATCTATTATGGGTTGGCAAACAAACTATGCTTTAAATATAATGGTCTAGTGAAAAGTGGGAACTCAGTCAAAATACAAACACAGAGAATACAAAAGTCCCTGTTCTTCCAACCCAATTCAGAATATTGATCCATTTAATTTAGAATGGTTTATGCTGGCTGGCAGAAGCCATCTATTCAGATTCAACCAGAAGTTTTTCCGAACTCTCTTTAAAATGAAGCAATTTTCCGATAGCAGTGCACCATTAGTAGAAGGCAACAGCAACCAAGGATTAATAGTTAAAAGACTTCATCTCAAACAGATAATATAAATGGATTCTCTCGAAATGTTAACAACTTTCTCTTAAAATGTGAACAACTACCATACAACCTTGTTTTAGAATTGGATAACTTGAAATGACAAATATGGAGCATGGTGGCAATATACTATTGAGATAATTTGGCTAGTTATGAATCATCAGCCTGCCATTCATTTGTCAGCTTGCTCATTGTTCCTTGATTCTATAACTAAAATCTGATTTCAGCTGTCCATGTTCAACTCAATTTAAAAGTAATGGAAGCAGCTGGTGATAGGTCAAACTGGCTGGTATGCTGTTTACAGGTTTGTTTCAGTGTATGATTTTATTACTTTATGAGTGTAATCCATCTAGAATCATGAGGGGTGGCAAACAAATGGCTGTATCAATAAATAAATAATTGCAAAAAGGAACACCCCATTTTATCTTTTTGGAAGTCAGCTCTGATAGCCTTCCCCCCTGCTTTTACTTCCAAGTTGGTTAATCCTGTTATGACAAATGAATTGCTGGAAATAAAGGTTAATGGAAAAAATCCCTTATATAATTCAGTTCCTTGCCAAAACAGATGGATGATAAATTTGAAATAAAAGCAACCTCTCTTGTGCATAAGATACATATTTTTAAGATACATATTTTAATTTTGTGGTATTTTTAAAAAATAATAAAGACAAGAATCAAGAAAGAATCCAAATGCTTCCTATGTTGTTCTTCTGTCTTGTGCTGTTTTTGTCTGTTTTTTCCCCCTAGACTTTGTTTTTAAATGTTTTAATAATTGTAAGCCATGAGAAGTTGCTGGGTGTTGAGTGGTGCATAAATTTAATGAATAATAATAATAATAATAATAATAATAATAATAATAATAATAATAATAATAATAATAATAATAATTATATTGCAAGGATTGGGATAGCAATGGAATTCCAATATAGTCCCAATAATAGATTAATTATTATTAGTAAGGATTAAATGAAAATGGTGGTGATGCAGGTTCTTCTCACAGGCAATCTAAGGTATTTTCAAATTTTGGTCTCAATACTACTGTTATATTTAATACTGTACCACAATGAATCATATTTCATTACTGCAAGTGTCAGTTCCCAATCAGGAACTATCAGCTGAGCTTCATTTTTTATTTTATTTATTTACTTGATTTATATACTATCTTTCTTTCCACAGGGATATGTAAATCAAAGTAATTATTCTAACTAGTTAACCTTTTTTTAAAAAAATACAGTCATGTACCATATGGACATACATCTTGGCTTCTAGGCCAACAATAATAGTAATTTGGAGATTTGTAACATTCCACAGAAGACCTATAAAAAGTCATTTTTTTCAATTATTATTTCTACATCTGCAGTGACATTTATGATAGAATGATTGATGTCGGGCCCAGTTATAACAAAACGTTTATTCTCTTCACTGATTTAATCCAATTCTCTGTCAGACAGATGGGGTCAGTGGGGCAAAATGGAAGAAAATCTCTGTATGATTGATCTCTCCCCTCCTCCGTTAGGCAATCAAAAGCACTTCAATAATTATTTTCAGGGCTTTTTATCCTACTGGATAGAGATGAATCTACCAGAGCAAAGTGCCAGCCTGGGAAAATCTATAATATATTATTAGCTAAATAGTCAAATCATAATAAGCTCACAATGAGCTAAGCCAGAATCAAACAAATCAACCATTACGGTTTATAAGATTCGTGGCTTAGTATGATGTGAGAATGCAACCAGTTAAAAAAAATGCAGCACAGTAAAATATATTAATGTGGATCTCTTTTTGTTCACTTTCTCAAGTGCATTTGGTAATTAGAGCATGATGACAGGCTTAATGTGGGGCTCTCCCAAGTTAAATTTTACTTTTCATTTAATTTGAAATTCTGTATCTGTGTTTCCTTCTGAGAAAGGTTACGGCATACCACTTCTATATCTTTGACAAGAAAAAGTACAGACATATCCATTATGTATCTAAGTCAATCTGAAGAGGACTTTATCTTTTACCTTTATGTCCAATTTTCTACTAGCAAAAAGGTTCTGGAGCAAAGGTGAGGAAGTGAATGGTATTATGCCCCCAAAATACTCATACAAGTGTCACAACTTGTGTAGCTAGCTGGACAATTGAACAAAGGCATCCACTGCTAGTGAAAAGCCATTATCAAATGTAATAGCTACTTCTGCCCTTAGACTGACAGTCAAATGATATGATCAGTACTATGCAAATCTCTGTAATGATCTAGCTGAAATCCTCCAAAATTCCAGTGCATCCAAATTCCCCAACGCACACCAGAGGGAATGGCATGATAACAATTTTTCACTGTGTACCACAGCCAATACTTTTGTTTTTGATGAATATTCTAGTTTATAAATGGACTCATTTCCTAACATCATGTCTGGGGGGGGGGGAAATAAACTACTCAAACATTTCTAAACAAAACCAATATTTCCATGAACATTTTATAAAAGAGCATTGAAAACCTGGGGTGCCATCAAAACAATGATTGTTTGGAGGTGAATTAGTTAACATTTGGTTTGCAGGAAACTCCTGCTTTGCCTGTTGGAAGATATTCAAATAAGGAAGCTGCTTGCTGCCACACCTACCTCGCAAGAGAGCAGTCAGTCCTTTGACCTGTGATGAGAAAAATGAAAACAAATTATGTTTTTAAACAGAGGGAAAAATATGAAGAAGGCATGTGAAAAAATGTGAAAGGGAACTGGAAGAAACTATTATGGGATGGAGGGAGGGAGGCACAGTGGCTGATTCCCCTCCAGAACAGTCATTTTGATCAAGATGATCAGCAGCAAATTAGGAAATATGGAGATGCTCCGAACTTGCTCTATCAGTTTTAGTGGAGAAGTGGTAGAGTAAATAGGACAAATTACTACATATATATAGGCAGCAAACCTCACACTCACTCACATTGATGTTACCTGGCTGAATAATGAAAGGCAAGCAAACAACCAAGCTCAGAGAATACCAAAATCTCAATAGTTCAACCCCGAGCTACAAATATTCTCTCCTACTAGATCAGGAAAGGCACAAAACAGTTCTTAGCTGCCTGAGGACTTACCTTGCTCTTTAGACACTGACTTGCTATAGCTGCTAGAATAGTTAAAGTGTAATAAAAAGGCATGGCAGGAAGCATGGCATTTCTTTATCTCAGCAAGAGATTACTATTTTTCAGAAATTGCTCAGAAAATGTACACAACATTCTCAGATTTATTAGCATGAATGTTCTGTCCAATCTGGTCATGCTGGCTGGGGATTAACTGATCTTTCATGCCATACCTCTGGAGAGCTGCTGGTTGCTCTACAAGATACAATGCACTAGCACTCTAGCTAGTTCAGAAGTTCATGGTTTTATTATTTCCTGTCTTTTTATTATTTTTTAAAAATCCACAAGTATTTCAAATGAGGAAAAAGACACCAAACAGCAATGCCTGGGGGCATTATGGGCAATATTTAAAAGGAGCTCAATTTACAGTAACAGAGAAGACATACATTATTGGACAGATAACAAAACTAAGATAGCTTTCTCTATTGGAATGGTATTGATTTATATCAGCAACATTTTTTCCCCAAGATCAGAAATGAAATGAATCAAGTATGGTTAATTATTAATCATGGACAATAAATAACACATTTTAAACAATCACTTTCCCACTCCCAGCAAAAAAAATCTCAAATATTCAAAACAGTTCATATTTTATAACAACATTATACTAAACCAGAGTTTCTTACCATTTGCCCAATTTCCATTACAGAATATGAATATGTATATAGCTACATGGCTTTAACAACATCAAAAGGCTTTAGTATTAAATTAAATACAGGTAAAAGATAGGAAATAATTATTCTATACCAAAAGACCTGCTACCGGTGGTATTTTCTATTAATGGAACCTGCCATGTCCAGAGTAAAATAATTTACAGGTCGGAAATAGAATGGGACAGAGAAAACAAATCAATACTGTTTTCCCCAAAGCTAGATAACCAGTTGTATTTTGCAGTCTGCCAAGCAATCTCTAACAAAGAAACAACGCCAAAGATTTCAAGCATGCAGTTTTTGGACAGACAACATTTATCAATAGTGGTTAAGATTAACATCTAAACCCATTTCAATTTATAGCATTTTGCTTTGGATTAGAAAGCAATGTATTCTTCTAACATTCTTGCCCACCCAGATAACTGCATTTATCTCTTTTTAAATAGCTAAGATTTGGGAATGGGATCTTTGTGAGCAAAGTGAATTTCACAAAAGCATCATTAACTAACTACCAGAAAAAAGAAGTATTCTGATTTTATGAAATCAGGCAAAGAATACCTTCAGTGTTTCTGATGCTCCCCCAGCAGAGAGTCAGTTAAAGGGGCAAGTAGGTTAAGAGAAGTGGTATGCTGGAATGCAGAAATCAGCAATGACTTAAGAATGTGGTTTGTCATAGGATCAGCTTGAGTATTATATGGTGATACTCAAAGGGAGGGAAAATGCTCAAAGGAAATAACCTTTCTGACTTGTTTTACTTTACATGATAGCTGAATAATTTCTTTAACTGAAAAATCTAAAAAAAAATTATGTATACTGCTTTATTTGACTTCCAGTGGGATGAAGAATAACAATTTTGATTAAAAATAACAAATAATTTCATCCACATTAGTGTATTCAGGCCACAGAGCCCTTTCCCAGTCAGTTGCATTACCTCTTCTTCACAGTATGAAGAAATAAAAATGTCAAGTTTCTATAATAATTCCCCAAATACAAAATATATACTCAAGGCTACCTGTTCTTGGCCAGAGCAACCGAGCCATATGGCTTAGGAAGAGATTTTATAAGAATCAAAGAAAGTTCTGCAAAATATTGGTTCATTGCATATTGCAGTTTAAAATAAATTCTGTGATTTACATTCTCACTCCTGTAAGTGCAACACAGATCAATATGAAGAGCTACTTTATTGTTTGGAGTTGATTCTTGCAGTTAAATTAAAAGTGAAAGCTATTCTGCCGACTTATTTAGATTCCCTATCCTTGCTCTTCCCAGATTCGGGAATGGATTTTTCATGGATGCTCATATCCATCATTTCTGATGACATCTTTGATTTGGTCTCTGGCACCAGACAATTAATTCCAGCAATAACCACTGGCAATCCATTCACTTTATTAAAGTGCCAACAGGCTATATGCATGCCAGAGTGCATTTTAATTCTACTTGAAAACAACCAGTTTTCCTGTGTGACTAAAAAAATCCATACACACATGGGAAGCAACCTAGTTCAACAATAAAAGTGCTTCCCTAATGATAGAATATTTGCAGACCATGAGAGAAAAAATGATTAATTGCAAGAATTAACCTAATTCGATTCTGCAGATATGCTGAAATGGGAGGGGAGTAGAGAGAAAATGGTTTCACTTAAACAAATAGATGTTGCACATTAATGGCTCATTAAGCACTTCCCTTTTGCCATTACTTAAGCAGCACTGCAGGGATGGAATAATAAATCCATAAAACATGACTTTGTCCACTTAGCATTGATAATCCAAGATTGTTATGCTCAGTCAGCTGCCTAATTTAGTAATTACAAAGGCTGGGCTGATGTAGTGACAAGCAATTCTCATGCTTACTTTCTCCCAGAGTCTTCTGCAGGAGGTCATGCTTGGCCTGGAGCTTGGTGATGAGATTTCTCCCTTCCAGATATTCCTTCAATTTCTAAAAGAAGAAAGAAAGAAAAATATATTTGAAGAATTAAAATATATTTCTCAAATATTTGAGAGTAATAAACCAAGGAATCAGAAAGACTCAAAAAGAGTCAACATTCTGCCAAGTTCCATTTGAAAACTATTTTGTGAGAAAGAATTTGGAACAAATCAACCACCAGGTTTGCTGTTTAATAACTAATACCAATATAATTAAATGCTTTCAATCAGAGATCCCTTGACGGCACAGTAGTATAAGCAAACCTTCATGGATCAGATTAGAGATGGCAGTGTTGCTTCATATAAGAACCAATCAACACTAGTAACCTTAATTTCTTTGCTTCATTGAATGATTTCATATTCTACTCTATGACTTTTAAAATAGGATTAGCAATATATTCAGACTAAGAATAGTAAAGTGTACATGTGTAACCCCATTAATAATGAAGCAAAAAATACTTGTATGCTGACTGAATTTCTTTTTATAAAAAAGAGCTCCATGTAATTCAAATAAAACATACAATGCTTTAAAAGAAACTACATATAATCCCTGGAATATCATATATCACATGGATATTTGAGGTTAAAAGCCCTCTCAGATCATTGAACATTCATCTAGTCCAGCATTCAATTAGGACTCAATTGTTTCTGGAGGAACATAAACTGTAGTTGCTATTCAATAATCAAAGACATGTTGCCCATAAATATGAGGTTGCCCCAAAGGAGCAGAGCTTCCAGTGTGACATTGCAACATTACTTTTGTCATATTGGTGAAAGTAGTGAGTTCCTGTGGATGCTGCTGGATCTGCCCTCTCTTTGCATTTTGTGTAATTTGTGTGATGATATTATTAACAAGTAACATAAATGGATGGAAGTGATTTTATTTGCTTATTATATTTGTACACTGCCAAAATTTGCTGTTCAAACAGATATACAACAATAAAAACGTAAAAGAACAAATTACAAGAAAAGAGAAACCAATTATGAATATAATAACCCCAGTCACCATTACTTTGACAGTTAATGACACACTTAATATGTAAAATATATTCATTTTAACAATTTATTGAAGGATGTCTGGGTTGACTATAGGGAAAGGCAGTTCCAGAAACTGAGGTCCATCACAGAGAAATGTTGCCTAAAGTTTCCATCAATCTCACCTCTGATGCATATGGGATATTCATCACCACAGCTACGGCAAATATATTTGGTAGATGTGTTATATGTAGAAAAGAAGGGCTTTTAAGATATGTAGGGCTTTAAAAACTAAAACCAATACTTTAAATTGTAATATTACTATAAATCAGTAAACTGCAAAATGAGAGTGAACATAAAGTTGTATGCATACATTAATACCACATCAGAATTTGTAAAGCACTGAAGATTTGGATATCCTCCAACTCGTGGGAGATGGTTGAGAGGTTTTTTTCAATTGCTTTGTTTAGGTTTATCCTTGGCAACCACTGTATGCTTTTATCTTATTATTTTTAACATGTTGGTTTCCCAGAGTTGAATTTGTGAAATCCACAGCGATATGAATTGATTTAATATATGCACACATACATTTAGGGCCCACTGGTCAAACTGAAATTTCAATTAATCCCCAAGTAAAAAGAAGCTGACACAATCTCTGCATGTAGAAATAACACAGTATCTGTCAGTATTAAATAACAACTTCCTAATTTTTCTATGTGAATAATTTACACAAATACCTAAATCAATGACCCCACCTCTTTTAGTACAATTAAAGTAAATGATCATTTGAATAAAATGTGACTCATGATGACAATGTGCACAAGTTTTCTTGGAAGCAACATATAGATTGCCACTTAATTTTTTTTCAAAAAAGGTTTACTTTTTTCCCCTAGTCTAGCCTGCAAATCTGTTTTTTCAGGTACCCAAGTACTAGACCGGTCTCATTTTACTTAGTTTATTCCCATTTTTATTTCAGAGTTCAAGGGATATACATGGAGGTTTTCTTTTATTTTATCCTTTCAACAACAAGTCTTGTTAGATTGAGAAAAAATGATCAGTTTTTCTAAATAATTTTAATTCTTGGTAAAATCTTGAAGGTTTACAGTATTTAGATTATACTTTGCATGTATTCATTTGATTTATATAAAAGCTCAAAGCAGCTTCACAACAACAACCCTGTAAGTTACATTGGACTGAGAAAGCATAAGCAAGCTGAAAGTGGACCTAAACCTGGATGTTCCCAGATTTAAGCCCACATCTTAACTATAATATAGAAATCTATACTGTGGTGACCACCTAAGACCATCTCTAAAAGGCCCCATAAAACTGGACTGGTTATAACAGAGGTGTCAAACAACGGCACGTGACATGTCACATATCACAACTTTTTTCTCATTGCCGGCAATGGAGTGGGCACGGTTTCGCTATGATGCATCCGACCCGCGGGCCGGCAGTTTGACAACCCTGGGTTATAAGAACAAATAGGTTCATATGACTCACTTTAAATATTTGAAATTACTTTGCCAAACTTCAAGGTCACAGCTCTTTTCTTCTTACAATATGTATTAAAAAGTTATGTGAATTTCAAAAGAACATAAAAGCTTTATTCAAGTACAGTGTTCTTGAAAAGCACTCAGCGGAAACTCCTTAATCTTCTTAACTGACACAGAGTTCATTAAATACCAGAGGTGTCTAAGTATCTATACTATTGACATTTTGATGTGTGTATTCCTTATTCAGTATTAATTTAAATGTTTTATATTTCAGTGAACTGATTAATTACAGAATTACAGGTGATGGCTTTTCAAAGTTTAAATAAATAGGGTTAACCCCACTGCTTTAAAGTGCAAATCAGAGCAATTAGGTTTTTAAAAGGCAGTAGGAACACATTTTGAATGAAAAAAAAAACCAAAATTTCTACATTGTGTAATGCAAAATTAAATAATTCTCAAGATAAGGATAAATGAACACTAAAGCTATCTGCACTTCCCTGAGAGATTCAGGAAACAGTAGGCCAAAGCAGTGATTAGAGCACCTTTCAGCACTGATATGTTCACAGTTCAGTGGCTTACTCCCTGCTGTCAGTCAAGACTCCATTAAAATAAATAACCACCTGATAATAAGGCAGGACAATTGCCTGCCTGGAGCCAATTTAAATTGAAAGTGATATTCTGAACCCTAAACTATTAGGTCACCTTATGAAGATATTTTTAAAAGTCCACAATGGACTCCTATTATTCCAAGCACTTTGCTTCCAAATAATGCACAAACTTGATGCTGGTTTATAAGTAAATGTGGCCTGAGAAAAAATAAATCATACTCTGCCCCATTTTGGGAGAGCAACAAATTCAAATCTAACTAGAAAGATAGTGTTTTCTCATTCTTTCTTCACCCACAAAAGAAAACTATTATCTATTGCTGATTTCCAATCTAAGACGTTATGATCATATAATAATAATAATAAAAGTTGGAAGGGATCATGGAGGTCATCTAGTCCAACCCCTTGCTCAGGCAGGAAATCCTATACCATTTCAGACAAATGGCTATCAGTCTCTTCTTAAAAACTTCCACTGTTGGAGCATTCACCGCTTCTGGAGGCACTGATAATAATCAACTGATTAATTGTTCTGTCAGAAAATTTCTCCTTAGTTTTAGGTTGTTTCTCTTTTTAGTTAGTTTCCATCCATTGTTTCTTGTCCTGCCTTCAGGTGCTTTGGAGAATAGCTTGATTCTCTCTTCTTTGTGGCAGCCCCTGAGATATTGGAACACTACTATCATGTCACCTCTTGTCCTTCTCTTCATTAGACTATTAGACTAGGGGTGTCAAACTGCCGGCCCGTGGGCCAGATGCATCACGCGGAAGCCATGCCCACCCCATTGCCGGCAATGGCAAAAAGTGCCGATACGTTGCGTAAACGCGACATCACAAGTTTGACATGCCTGGACTAGACATAACCAATTCCAGCAACCGTTCCTTATATGTTTTAGCTTCTAATCCCCTGATCGTCTTTATTGCTCTTCTCTAGAGTTTCAACATCTTTTTTACAACATGGTGACCAAATCTGATTGTAGCCACTGTCATTCAGAACCCAACACTTCTGTCCCTTTAAAATGTGACTGAACAATGTTTTAAAATGAAAAGGTCTATTATATTCACTTTGAAGGACAGGACAAGACAAGGAGTTGAAGCTGGTCAGCAGGAACTTTTGATTCTATAGCCAAAGACAGACATTTTATAAACAAGGGACAAAAAACAGAAACAAGGCTTGGAAATGAGTAACCAAATAGTTGTTGATTCAAAAAGGAAAATTGGCAAGATTCACACCTTAGGATTTGCAATATATAAAGGGTTGTAATGGAATGTGAGAATGACTTTGGAAGGGGGGGGGAAGGTGGGAGAGATGGTGCCTAAGGAATAATCAGATAAAAGGGGGAGGAGCCTACTACTAGGTAAGGTGCAGAGAAAGAAATTTAGATTCACTCAAATTATTTAGGCAATAAAAAGAGATGACGGGAGAGTTATGCTTTCAAACTTGCAAGATTCTGTTGCTGTAGTCTTACAATAAAGTAGACTTCACTCATCTTTTTTTTTTTCCTGTTTGATCTATCTGGGAGGTTGATGAATTCCTGGGTCTGGTTAGATAGCAAATTACCTGAATATATGGCTTCCTAATTCTCTGCAATAAATCTACTTACATAACATTTTAAGTCTGCTTTCTAATGTGGAGCAGGGAGGGAGCCTAACTGTCTTCCCTGCTATGAAGCCTTGCAGTATGTTTTGCCTCTCTGGCCCCTGACTAGAGAAGGACAGTCTGACTCCACCCCAGAGATTAAGAAATGACTGCAGAATTTCTTGCAAACCTACAGACTATTATTTAGATTACTAGTGGCTTTATTCCAGTATGAGAATGAAGTTGCAGTGCAAATGGATCAGTTAATTCAGACAATGAAACAAGGGGTAGAACATAATTTGCCACTAGTATTACCTCAAGGCCTTCAGTTTCTGCTTTTGAAACCCTCCAATGCTTCCTGACTAGC